AGAAAACTACAAAAACAAAAGGGAGAAGATTCATCATATGGTGGCATTTTAAAATTTTGACAAGGATGAAAAGTTGAAAACGATTAATTTTTCTATTAGAATAATGGTACAATGTACCTTATGTGGGAATCTTGTCGCTGATTTTTAACAATTATATATGTGCTCTTGATGTCATTGGGAATGTCAATTGGCAATGAGTGGTGTGACTTTTAAAACTTATAAACAGGTCTCAAATTCTGAGCACATGCGATGTGGAATTCTTTTTCCAACACCCTCTCTCAAGTCCAATAAGGAGTTTATCCAATGAACTTGTAATAACAAGAACGAGAAACCGCCCATGGGTCATGGCCCAGTGGGTCGGAGAAAGAATTAAAAGCCGGCTATGGGTCGAAGCCCAAATAGGTCGGAAAAAGAAGTCAACGCCGCTTATGAGTCAAAACTCAAATGGGTCGGTCGAACTCTGCTCATGGATTAATTTGTCCATTCGGGTCAGTCAAGAGAAATAGAAGAAACATAATATAGTCGGACTCTGTCCGTGGATCAATTTGTCCATTTGGATCAGTCAAGAGAAATAGAAGAAACATAAGATAAAACATAATTCAAAGGCTGGCTCTGATACTATATTAAAGTACTTTGGCTCCAATCTCAAAACTAATTGACAATAAGTGAGGTGTTTGGAACTTATAAACATAAGTCTCAAATCCTGAGCACGACGACCTGGGATTCTTTTCCGAACAGGGAAAATGTATGTTTAAACCATCCGCATATAGTACTACTAATTGCTAGCCGCAGTTTTTGTGATTGACTTGATTCACAAGTTAAAAATTACGGGTAACTATGTTTGTTTTGTTTTTTTAGTGTGTGTTTTTAGGTGTTTTTTGTATTAGGAATGTAAAAAGGTGTATTGAAAATGTAAAAAGATATGTTAGAATGGGATAGTTATTAATATTTTAATTTAAAAAATTACCATAAAAAATAAAACAAACAAACTAACTTGTAGTCAATGAATATATCTAAAGGTACACATTGGTATATTACGCATTTCTACCTGAATAGATTATCTAAATTCACACTAGCTAGTTTTCTTTCGAAAAAATTATACTCTCAACATATATCTTAATAATAAATGTACCATCTCAACATATTTTTCTTTATATATTTGTAATATATCATTTTACACTTAAAAATACACACTTAAAAAACTAAAAAAAAAAATCTACACATACCCTTAATAATTTTTGCCTTTTCATATTGGGGAAGATGATAGTTTGTTCGTCTTCTAAATCAGTAACATAGCTTCAGTGACTGGGATTGCTTTTAGGGGTTATTTGTGGTTATCTAAACTTGAAGAAAATACTTCAAAATATAGCATCTAGAAATTAATCAGTCAACTATAACATACTCGAAGCTGGAATTTGGTCCAAGAAATTAAAATTAGCTATTCATTTCACAACATTACTTGACAGTTGAAATTACTTAAAAATCCCGCATGTCGCTGGCCTGCACGTCATGTGTGTTACCGAACCGAAAATAATTGTCTTTAGAATTCTGGAAAGCATAGAAGGTTCTTCCTGATTTGATGACTTGGCTTTTGCTATGGAGTAAGATTTCATTTGACGAAATTAATCACTCCACTCCTTCAGAAATTACAAACCTTAGTTTCACATTGTTACGTTGATAGCTCATTTGATCATCAAAAAGAACAGTGCTCATTTATTATGGAAACATCAAAATCACCCTGTTGTGAATGTAAAGAAAGTCGATTAGATATTTCTTTCTTCTACAGTAACAACGAAGTGCAGCTTAGTGGTAAAACGCCTCATCTGTTGACCAATAGGTCATAGGTTTGAGTCACACCGGAGGTAAACGAGGAACCACTATTGATCCCTTAAAAAAAAAAAAAATTACTTTCTCCTACAAGTTACACACTTTTTGACATTTTAAACTATTTAATCAGACCAGCACATTTTGAATGTCTTAATTTCCACTATTCTGGGTTTCGTGATCATTTGCTACAGTTGTAGCATAGTTGATTATTCTAGTTAGTATTACGAGATCGGGATTCAAACCCTAATGTCATAATCCATGAATTATACTACAAAAGATTGAATTAAATTCAAAATCTACACCACAGATTAAGTGCTGAATATCGCCAAACGAAATGAGTTGTTCCATTCTTATTATAGACAAAACGGAGAGTAATGAAATTAACCATATTTTGATTTGATAACAACACAACTAATATAGAATTTGGTCACGGGTAGCATTCGTAAGGGCGTGGCCACATTTTGTTTAGCTTTTTTTTTTTTCCTTCTCTTTTGGCTTTAACATCTCATATCTGAACAGTTGTTTGGGACATTGGTGAAGGAGTTTTCTTGTCAAGTTTTATTTTATATGTTAGTGTGACTTAACATAGGAGATATCACTAGCCCCTCCCATTCTTATCTCTGGTCACCATTTTTATTGTCGTAAAGAAAACAATAAAATGTGATTTTACACAAAGTGACGAAAACCGACCATAATGTCCTCCAGCAAAGGGAAGATAAAAGAGGACAAGGACCCCTTTTTTTCTATAGTTTTTTTTTTTTTCCTTAGAGAAGGGAAATTAAGGGCCCTTTTCTCTTTTGTAAATTTTTAATGGTTTTCTTGAAAGTGACCAATGTATGGAATGGAACTGTTAAGTCATTGAGTTGGATTAGTCTCTGACCCTTATGATTATGCTTGGGTTTAAGTTTCCAACTGCATGAGAAGACATATTTACGATCAGGGGGTATGGAGTCTGGAGCCACATTTATATGAGGTGGGGAAACTCATATCTCTTAAACAATAATGATAATTAACTATTAGAGATGTATGATTCACTATAATGTATAACCTAACCATGACTGAAACACAACGTAATTAAAAATGATCAATTTGCATTTCAAGTGATGATTTAGCGTTTAGTATACATGATCAATGATCCACAGAAAAATGTGTATATATGTTTTGTTCTATAAAATTTTTAAAGCATATAGAAATGATTTATTTGTCCTTTTTATATGTAGGAAATTAGTCACGGAATCATTTCCGAATAAATTTAATGATTAAAATCAATCGTTTTGAGAATAGCTTTCATGTATTATAAAAGCTTTTGAGGTTGCTCACTTATTTAAGTTATTTCTGAACCAAAGAAAACGAATGGAGGGGTAAGTTAAGGTTGAAGTTGAGAAGCCAAAAAAATGATTAGACAAGAAAGTGGAGATGATAGGATGTTTTCTTAGAAGCCTTAAGAATTAGTAGTATGAATCAGTTCTCTCACTAGATAGATCAAAAGCAAATAAATACAGTACTTTGTTATGGAGTACAAGTAATAATAGTTCGTTGGTTCACTAGAATATAGAAGTAAAAGTAATAGAAACATTAGTAAACAAAATAGTAAGAAGACCAAGAACAGTATGAAAAAGGGGAAGAAAAACCTTTAACTTGTCTTATCCACATGACTATTACTACCGTGAAAACGATACGTTTTCGATTATAAAAATTGTAAAGGTCCACTTAAACATCATGAATAGATGACTGACAAATGACTGTTTAATTACATGGTTTAAGAAATGATATTTTTAACTGTGTTATTATGATGAATGGATGTGCAATACAGATAAATTGATCCAACGAATTTTCGTACACCATTTGTACCAAATTATTATTATTCTACTCAATTTTTTGTTTTCATCTAGGAATTCTAGTCCGGGACACTGAATGCGATTGATCAAGGTGGCCTGGCACACTATTTGTTATGGTTCAGACACCTTTTCTTTAATCAATATATTTTTCTCTTTTGCTTTTTGGAAAATCAAGGAAATTTAACGAAGGCATCATCGAACAAATATTAGTCTTTTCTCTTATGTTTTTTTCGAGAAATCAAGGAAATTTAACGAGGCATTCGATCCACACGTTTTAGTTTAGGGATTATTCCCTCTGTCCCAAAATTATTGTCCACTTTAAGATTTCACTTTTAGTACAATTTGAACTAAAAATGAAAACTCAAACTGGACAATAATTATGGGACGGAGGGAGTAGTAATAATGAGCATTTACCCAAGAAACTAAAGCGAACAAGGGAATATCCCCTCTATTTTGAAAATGTAATCCATATTAATTTTTAAAATTTGTACTCCCTCCGTCCCATAATTATTGTCCACTTTGCCCAAAAAATTTTGTCCCAAAATTATTGTCCAATTTGACTTTTTATGGATCAAGTTACATATTTGTCCTTAGTAAAAAACATTATCCATAAAATCTTAGTGGTTAAACAATTAATTATGTAGGGGTACATCTGGTTGTTTAAGGTAAAATATAATTAAGTTTGACCAAAAATAAAATCTTTCATTTTAGTAAAACTGAACAATAATTATGGGACGGATAGAGTATTATACAGTAATACCTCCGTCTCAAAGAAATAGTCCACATTGGGTTTTCAAATTTGTACTAAAAATAGTACAAAACTTAAAACTCAATGTGGACTATTTTTGTAAGATGAAAGAGTATAAATTTTAATTTTATTAGGAGAGAGGGAAGGGTGGCAATGAATTTAAGCCCATGGATTGAAAACAATATCAATGAATGATTTATTCTGAGTAGATTGCTTATTGCTAACCATTTGGGTGGAGGTAAAATACACCAGATGCAAACTTGTAAGCCCCCAGAAGGAAAAAAAATAAAAATAAATCAATTCCAGATTGCATTATTGAATAGCACTACTTTCTAACTATTACTGAGTTACCAACCTCCTCCGCATCATCATCATCTACATTTAGTACCGTTAATATCATGGGATGAATGACATACTACAATTCCTGCTCTAAATACAGACGAACTCAGTAGTCTGTATCAATGTGGCTGTTAACAAAATTTGATAAAGGAACAGAAAGAGTAAAGGTGAAAAATCAATGTGGCTGCTATTTCTGACCCTTATAGTCACCAACACGTGCGATTGCACGTGTTACTACTGACTGACTTTCAGAGACCTTTAGAGTTCACCAAATCTTCGAGCTCGGATAATATGAGACCAATCAAGGCAGCTCCTTAATAACCGTAACCTGATCATGATACATGCAGAATAATAATTAATATCTACAAGCTTGTAAATATCTCGTTCAAGATCACTAGCTTATTCAGTAGTTGCCAGAATCAAACCTGAATTATCCATGGGGTTTGCCATGACAGCAGGTTCTGGCCCCTGTATGTCCACAACCACTGCATCTGATGTCAGGAAAGTCCTAGCAACTGAAGCTGCATGCTCTAAGCAACATCGAACCACCTGACACCAACAAAGGTATATTTCATCAGCTCATTGTTGTCTTGAGGTTGGAATGTCACAATATAGTCCAATAAGGTATGACTTCAACTAAATGAAATAGTACTAGTGCCTAATGAAAATTTAGCACCAAGAACAAGAGTTTATGTGACCTATGACTCTGTATGGAGTCCTATCACAGACAATCCGAAAGTTTATAACACAAGCAATGACATTCAGAAATGAGTAGATGAGATGACATGACAAGTAAGCCAAACTTGACATTTCCAGCATTGTCTCACAAGAAGAAACTCTTGCCTTTGTGGGGTCAATGATACCAGCAGCCATTAGGTCTTCGTATTTCCCAGTTGCTGCATTGTAACCAAACTTGAAGTCATCATTGGACAGGACCTGCATGAGAAACGTAAAACTTCTGAATACCTGTTGTGATAAAACAGATATTCTCTATTCGAAAACAACAGCAAGGCAAACCATAAGTGGCCGTGCAGTGTAGTCAAACCTTCTCAATGACAACACTTCCATTAACTCCTGCATTCTTGGCAATCAATTTCATTGGATAACTCAGGGCCCTCCTAACAATATCAGCTCCAATCTGCAAGCACATATGGTCATAATTACTTGTTGACTCTAATGAGTTCTCTAAAATCAATGCTCACAAGACATTCTATTACCTTCTGTTCATCATTATCAAGTGTTTCTTTGATGGCGTCTACTTTCGCCGCAAGCCGCAACAGTGTGCAGCCACCTCCAACAACAATGCCTTCTTCAACGGCTGCCTGTTAACACAATAATTTTTAATACCTCATGTAATAAATCCCTTGAACATTCGGTAAGAACCAAGCTAAGGTACCTTAGTTGCATTCAGCGCATCCTCCACTCTCAACTTCTTCTCTTTAAGTTCTGTTTCGGTCTGTGCCCCAACCTGAATATGAGTCGCATACAGCTTGTCAACAAAGAAAGATGTTCCTATCAACGACCAGTATTAAGGCTAAATGAAGCTAACCTGAATGACAGCAACACCACCTGACAGCTTTGCAATCCTTTCCCTAAGCTTTTCTTTTTCATAGTCTTGGTCAGCCTCCTGCATGAAAAGGCTTGATCAGTTAGCAGCGTGACCCAAAAGATTCCACCACGTCTAAAAATGTGAAGAAAAGTAAAGCAGAAACTATTATCATGCCTCAACGAGGTTTTTGATTTGTGCAACTCGCTTTCTCACAGCTTCCTGAGTGCTACCATCCCCAACAATGGTGGTTGTTTCCTTTGTGAGCACCACCTTTGAAGCATTCCCCAGGACTTCACTTCCTACCTTGTCTAGTGACAAACCAATCTCTTCTTTGATAACAGTGCCTGTTTAAACAAAGAGCAAATCTTTCGTCAATAATAGATCAAGGCTACGTGTGCAGCCAAATAATTTACTTAATGATGAATCTCACCCCCAGTCATAACAGCTATGTCGTCAAGATATTGGTTTTTGCGATCCCCAAAGCCAGGAGCTTTCAATGCAGCGACCTTCAGATTTCCCCTGAGTTTGTTCACAACCAGCGTCGCAAGAGCTTCCTGCTCAATGTCTTCAGCAATTATCAAAATTGGGTATCCTCCTCTAATACCACCTTCCAAAATGCTGACTAAATCCCTTGCATTTGTTATCTTCTTTTCAACTAAGAGAAGCTGTACACAACCAGCAGATAACTAGTTATACGTCAAGAACTTATATCAGCTAGACACTTGTAAATAGGGAAGTATTAAGGGCAGTGACTTGCCTTGCAATTTTCATATTCAACAGCCATCTTCTCACTGTCAGTAACAAAATAAGGGGAAATGTAGCCACGGTCAAATTGCATACCCTCCACAACATACAAATGGTTATCCGAACCTCTCCCCTCTTCAAGAGTAACAACACCTTTCCTACCCACTTTGCTCATCGCCTCTGCTATCATATTCCCCACTTCATAGTTGTTTCCCGCACTAACAGCAGCTACATCTGCTAATTCACTGTCTTCAACCTACAAAATTCCCATGGGCGATTTATTAAAAAAGTAAATCCCAGTAAAAGCTGCCTAGAGTTATTAAAAATTAAGTCCCAGTAAACAGAAAGACAGTCAACGAAATTTATTTAAAACTAACGGGAAGAGATGCCATTGCCATAACTCCAAAGGTAAACAATTGGATGTTAATAATGAAAAAAAGGTTTGGATTTACCTCTTTTGACATCAACTTCAGCTCATCAACCAGGGCTTTGGCCGTCTTTTCAATTCCTCTAGTAATCTGAATAGGATTCGCTCCAGCTGCAACCACCTGCGCGAATCAGGTTACAGATAAAGAACTACACAATAGCCATTACACTACTGACACTCAAGGTAACTAATACAAGATTCAGCATATATATACCTTGACACCTTCTGTTATGAGACCTTGTGCAAGGACTACGGATGTGGTTGTACCATCCCCAGCCAAGTCATTAGTCTTTGAAGCAGCTTGTCTAACTAACCTAGCACCTATATTCTCAACAGGATCCTCCAATTCAACCTATCAAAAAATGGAAAAACTATAAATCAGAAGCTACTACTGAAACTTGAAGTTAAAATGCAAGTATTTCCAAACAAGACGCTTTTTTTCGGACCAAAGTATTTCACAACATATTTGTTTCCAGGATCTAGAAGTTGTACCTCTCTAGCAACAGTCACACCATCATTGACAATTTTAGGGGATCCGTATTTGCTCTCCAGAACTACATTTCTTCCTTTGGGTCCGAGCGTAACTCCCACAAGATCTGCAAGTTTATTAACACCATCCTGAAATTGAAAGTGAGAAATGTGAATCGACAAAATTCAAAGTAACAAACTAAAAAAGGAAAAAAGATATGAAAGCAGAAACATGTCATGCCACCATTGGGATGTGCCCATGTTGAAGAACATTTTAATAAGAAAACTGACCTGAAGCTTCTTAAGAGCAGAGCCATCTTTATTGAAGTACAAGTCCTTGGCCATAGCCTGAACCTTGCAACTTTGTCTTTTACGCATGTTAACCTTCTCCCTTCTGCCCCCCAAGGCTTGGGAAGATAATGATGTGCATGAAGACAGAGCCTCGGAAGAACTAACCAGCTTCTTATCTGCTTTACAAATGCCTAAAGAGACAACTGAGCCAGCAGGGGACAATGCAGTGAAGGTAGAAGCCATAGTCTTTGCAAACTGATGCTGAGGGCAACAGTCATAATTAGCACCATCGCATAAAAAAAAGAAAAAAATGTTTAAGTTAACATACACTGGAACCAAACAAAAAGCAGGAAGCTGATGCGCAAATAGTACAGAGATATCGTCCACATGAAAAAGGGACTTCCTCATCATGGATTTATCATTACAATTAGAGCACATAAAAGATGTACACTCCAAACCCTCCCTCCACAACAGACTTATTGAACTAAGAGTTTCTAACAGAGTTCAAAAACAGATTACAGTTATTACAATCCCAGAGGTTAAGGCAAGCAGAATTTAAAATAAACTAAGAAGCAAACAAACAGATAAATACATAACACAAAATTGTCAGATTACACTCTCTGCAGCAGCAAGAAAATAAAGGAGCTAGGGGATATTCATAATGATAATGGACGGATTAACATCAACCAAATGGTTACCGAAGCTTTCATGTATTACACTGCACCAATTCTAACCATAAACTAAACGTTCAGTACAGCATAAGCATATTATGGAACCAAAATTACACATTTTCTAGACGCAAAAACCAAATTGAAAAGCTTCTGGATTAAACTAATCATCTAGTTCAACTTTATCTTCAATTGTAGAGTGGTCAATAACAAGATACCATGAAACAGAAAAAAGAATCCGGTCTTATTCAACCTTGAGCTATGGAATTGAAAATGAAATGTAAAAAGGAAAAAAGAAGGAAAACTGTAGAATCAATTTGATGGTCATTACCGATGACGTGAAGAAATGGAGAAGCTGAATTGAACTGAGGCCTAGTGATAATGGAGGATAAAAGAAGCTGTAGTAGGGTTTAAAGAGTAATGGGAAGAAAGGGGATAAGGTTAGGGAAGAAGACGAGGCTTTGGAAGCTCCGGGGGAATCAGAACCTTCTAGATTTTCTTACCGTTTATAGAGGAGCCGGCATTCGTTTTACGGCCTTTAATTACCAGCAGTTTGTTCTGGCGCGCTTCTTTCATTTCAATCTGGGCCACGCTTTATTTTGAGTTTTGTACGGGCTATTATGTGGTCGAATTTTGGGCCAACACACACTGTCGATCCTCAAAGTTGTATGTCTCTTTAATTTGGGCTAGTCGATTGTGTGTAACAATTGTGCCCATGTTGGAAGAATTCGGTCTTTTCAATATTTTTTTTTTTGCTTTGGATCTATGTAATAAAGATTTTGAAAAAAAAAATGCCTTTAGTTCAATTACATAATCCAAAAAATGAATGCAATTTTTTGAAAATGTTTTTCTTCTTTTTCCTTGGTTTATTTGGCAGAGGACATGAAGCTTGTTCCTATTTGTTGCTCCTAAAAACAACAAAAACGAGACATGCTTTTGAACAATCTTTGACTGAAACGAGTGTGCAGTTATTCACCAAATAATTACAACGTAGTAATTAACAGCCATTATTCCCCTAAAAAGCGCAGTCAACATATGCTGTTTGATGAAACATAACGCTTACGTTAAAGTATAGATTCAAAGTTTTTTGTATTCTTCCTGAAACGGACAATTTGAAAAATTCAATATTGACATCAAAATCCATAATAATAACAACACTAAATTCTTAAAATATTCAAAATAATAAAACATTTCTCAATCCTCAAAATAAATGAGTTCCAACAATAATATTCTAATTAAAAAAAAAAACTAAAAATGGGAAAAAAAAAATCAATAATCATCAATCGGGAAATGCTCTAACACATAAATTAATTTAACTGAATCAAGCTAACGATGCAGCAACCAGGAGGGCCACCGAGGTCATCAACGCCACAGCTGCATGAACGGAGGAGGAAACGGCCGCCAAACCCGAACCCGAATTGGAAAGCGGGGATGGAGCGGGAGACATCCCCCAGTAGTATTCCGGCGGAGACGCCGTGGAGGAGGGCGGAGGAGGGGGAGGAGGAGGAGAACTCGAACCGGAGGAAGGAAGGGGCAAGACTTCGACGTACAACCGCTGACCGGCACTGCAGTGATCGTAGTATCCACTGACGAAGTAAACCGGACCGGGCTTATCCAGAGTGATCAACGTGTTGTTCCCATCGGTGTAAACCGTTTCTTCCGGTCCGCTGACGTTGCAGTGGTAGTAACCATATTTGTCCACCTTAACCACCGAGTCATTCACATACACGAAACCTGCCAATATCAAAACATGTATTTTTTTTTTTTAATTTAAAAACAAATAATAATAACAAATTCAAATTTGTAAGCATGCAAGAGTTTAAAATGGATGGATATATATATATATATAGGGAACTGACGGAGTAAATCTCCAACGTGGAATTTCTTCCGGGAAGCCCAGACGGTGTAGAGATCGGAATCGTTGACGGCGGGGCGTCGCCAGCCGGAATCATCGCCGACTTTGAATTCCTCGACGGCTGCCGCTGGAGGAGCAGCGGAGTTGATGAGTAAGATGAGAAGGAGGGCAAGAAATGGAGTGAAAACGCAGGAGAAAGCCGACCGGATTGCGGCCATTGATCTTAGCATGAAGAAGAAGAAAAAAGAAAGGAAGGAAGTTTATGATGCGAGATTTCTTTCTACTGTGAGTGAACTTAAGTCTTTTGGCTCGTAGTATACAGAAAACTGAACGTTAGAATTGAAGAGGAAAAAGGAACCGGGGGGAGATTATATAGAGATTAGAGAGAGTGTTTTGTTTGAACGTCGAAGTTGCGTGGAGAACGTGGGCGGGGGAAGTTTAATTTTTCCGGAATTTGGCGGCCGTTTTTTTTGTTAACCAATTTAAGACACTGTGATTTAAGTATTAGGAGGGAGTTCGTGGGACAACCGGGCGTCAATTCAGACGTTGACCAAGTCTGTTTCACCAGAATTCCTTGTAATTTTCTTCTTTTCCTTTTTTTTTTTTCCCCTTTTTTGATTTGAAATCTAAAGAACATGTCTAACTATGTTTATTTTATTTTTATTTTTTTTTGCTGCAAAGAAAGATGTCCAACTACTATATATAACTATGAATACGCTGAACAAAAAAGTTGATAATCCGCTACGTTAATTTGTTGTATGCAAAACAAAAATCTGGAGCATTGCCTCTTGACCCTAACCTAATTAGCATTACGAGTCATCACTGTAGTATGTTGCTCCCTCCCCTGCTAATAATATACATTGTACAGTCACAAAAATGATTATACTGGGATTGTACCCAAAAACGGAGAGACAGAGAGCCTCTTCTAGGATAATGATCATACTGTTTCCACAGTTGGTTGCTTCTTATTATGTCTGGTTAACTCTTCCTGCAACTGCGAACGCTTAGCTGATCTGATATCAACTATGTTTGTAGGCATATGTTGAATCGACCCGTGCAACTGAACCAATTTGAAAAACTCTTGCTTGCTCAGGCTCTTCTTCTCAACCAGTTCATCAACCACCGTGTCCATAAGTATTCGGTTCCGCTCCAGGATCTGTCGGAACATGGTCGGGATCAGAATACTCATAAACGAATTTTTACCCCGAGTCTTTCCATGAATTAGATAGAATCACTAAGTACTGTTTCTGTGGCAGAATACATACCTCTTTAGCTCGTTCATAACACATATCAATGATCCGTGACGCCTCAGAATCGATGTCCTAAAGGGCAAATTTTTACATCAGAGAGGTCAACTTCTAAATGTGCAAATCACAAGGAATCCGCCACATAACTAACTAGCTCATTCATAAGATGAAGGAAACAACTATTTCAAATTCAGAAGCATTCTGTAACAACGTTGAGCCACTTCATGAAAAAAAGTTAGATATGTCGTCTTCATAGCAACATCCACTCTCGAGAATTTTCAATTTGCTGTTAACTTATAAAAATTTGTGGGAATCAAAAGTACATGAAGTTAAAATAAAGGTTGAACCTTTTCTTTTATCCCTAAGAATAAGGTTTAACACACTAACACATGGTAAGATCTTCTCTAGAATTTCAAAGCAAAAGCAGGGTGCTAAGAGATGCTTACATTTAATCGATCAGCAGTCCAGAAGTTATTCAAACCATGATGTTTGTCAGAAAGACCACCAAGAACAAGAGTTCGAGCAGCTGACCTAGCATTGTCTGCGGTCTCCGCCCAGATTGTGCTCAACTGCACCATTTTCTTTAAAATTAGGAGACAAATTATCGGAGTCCTTCATCATCCTTTTCAGTGCCACAAATAAATCTTCAGCACATAGACAGGCTGTGAAAGACCTTACCTGACCCTCACCATACCATAACTCGTCAGCTGCACGCGGTGCTAATTGAACAGTGATGTGATCTAAGAGTGATTGGCGACTGGAGAAGAGTAAAATTACGGGCATAGTTAAATTCCAAGATGAATACAGTGTAAAGAAAATGTCATGGGACAATGAAGTAGTATAAAAATAACTATGTTTCTTTACGAAGTTGTATACAATTCACCAGCATGAACTTTTCCATAACTTTACACGAAAGATATTCATTACTGACTTGATTTTTAGGGAGAGCAGTCATGGTGGAGTAAACAAAAGCTGTCATACCTTAACATTCCTTCCTTAAATTTGACATGATCCATTTTCATCCGGACATATCCTAGTTCCCTTCCAGCTCTAGGGGAAATGGTTAACTGCACAGAGCACACAAATCAGTTTACTCTCGTTCAAATTATAACAAGAAATGCTCACTGACAACAAATTGAATACGTAAACATGAATTCCAGGTTGTACTTTCCCTTTACACAGAACTAAAACCGACAAGCGTGCACATTTAGATTTCTTCATTAGATAACAGATTGAGGATCAAATCATACAAACTCAATATTTCTGAGGTCGGGGAAGTTCACAGCTACTACTGCCATTGCTGCTTCATTAATTGCTACTTGCTTCCAAATCTCCGGGCTCCTTTCTTTTCTATCCAGCATTCCTCTTTCTTCCATTTGTACAGCTTGCAACAAATCATCAGTTGTTATCTGCAGAAGTACAGAACTCATAAAATCAACTTTACACAAGTAAAATATCCACATTAACAATGGATCAGGCCCATTTGCTTTACAAGTATGCCCAACCAAAAGAATTTATTTGAAAGCATCTGATTATGAATCTGATCATTAAAATGCCTCCTTAACCCAACCTTCCCTACCTAAATGCTCAAAAAACAGAGAGCATCTTATGTATAGTATGTTATTGTGTGAACAGAACTGTCACTTCTGCTTTTTTACACAAAATGTACCTCAGTCCTTCCATCACGCATCATATTAATAGCAGCAACCTCAACAATATTTGCAAGCTCTGCACCAACCATTCCATCTGTCATACTGGCAACAGCCATATAGTCCACGTCTGGAGCCATTGGTTTCTTACGAGCATGAACCTACAACCACCAGAAGGGTAAATAATCAGTTTTAGAATAAGACCAATTAGCTTGAGAATTTACAAACTTAAAAGATATAATCATGCCTTCAAAATTTCAGTGCGACCAATCAACCCAGGCTTCGGTATGTAAATCTTCCGATCAAATCGTCCCGGTCTCACAAGTGCTGGATCCAATATATCTGGTCTATTAGTTGAAGCGATGGTGATGACTTCTCCTCTACCTTCAAATCCATCTAAACAGACAAGGAGCTGAAACATAGTAATAAAATTGCACATGAATACACGACAGAATATCAGCACTTGCAACAGAGATCTGAAAGTTGCAAACACAAGACACCTGATTCAAAGTAGCATCACGTTCTTGTCCACCAGAACCCTTAATCAAACCACGCTCCCTCCCAACAGCATCCAATTCATCTATGAAGACAACAGATGGAGCCTACACAAACAAAGTAATAAATGGTCAGAATATGTATCAGGCAGTCAAGCTATAGCAGAACTAATTAAAACAAGTCAAGCTTAGAGAGAGAAGACTTACATTTTCCTTTGCTTCTTGGTAGAGTGCTCTCACACGCGAAGCACCGACACCAACATATATTTCCACAAACTGAGATGCAGAAATTGAGAAGAAGTTGACACCAGCTTCACCTGCCACTGCTTTTGCTAATAAAGTTTTCCCCACCCCAGGTGGACCACAGAGAAGTATTCCCCCTGGTGACGTTTTAAGACACAAAAGCAATCCAACTGAGTTTTTACTAGAGCAAGGAGGTAGAAACGAAATTCACCCAACACTAAGAAGCATGGCATGGGGATCAAGATGGACTTTAGCCATATAACATTAATCTAGGCTGCTTTTCAGGAAAAGGAATCATTACGCTCCTACAAGGAATACATGACTTGAATTCACAGGGAAGCTCCAACTACTAATGAAACAGACAACAAAATCAGCTTAATTCACAGGGAAGCTCCAACTACTAATGAAACAGACAACAAAATCAGCTTAATAAAATCTGAGCCCAGAGCTGAACTAAAAACTGAGCTAACATAAACACCTGTGGGATACTGATGATATAATAATAGGGTAGGACAAGAAAAGGAAACAATCAATCTTCAGGATAAGAAAACATCTAATTAGCAAGAACAGCAAGTTATGATTTATGAAGGATAAAATAATTAAAAACAGCTTTCAGAAGGCCAATTGTCTGTGATTAAAACAAAGATAAGAAGTAGGAGAAGACAACAGCCATATGCAAGGGAAAAAGGACCTGGAATTCGAACTCCTCTCCGGCGGTACATCTCGCCATGGGTAAAAAACTTGACAATCTCTTCAAGCTCTTCCCGTATTTTTCCAAGTCCTGCAACATCTGAGAACTTCACATCCAGACCTCTTTCCAAGTATTGTGGAAGTCTCTTATTTCGGGCTCTTCGAACACGAGCACCAGACTTCATGAACTGCATTGCCATCTTCATGTATGGATTCTGCTCTCCTGTAGCTCCTTCCTCATCGTCATCCTCACCCTCCACCCCCTCCATTTCTCTCTCTAACTCCCGCATCTTCTTCTTCTCTTCAGCCTCAGCCTTCTCAATCTTCCGCCTATCCTCATAATCCTTCTGATGCTTCTTATAGCTCAAAACAACAGTATAGTAAAATATGAAAAAGAAAAACATCCCAAGAGCTCCGACTACATTGGGATCACTAGCTAAATTATCCCATAACCTTGACATATCCTCAGACCTTCTCTGCGCTTTGCGCATCGATTCTTCAAACTTTATCCTTTTCATTTCCTGCTTCTTTCTCCTCTCCAACATTTTCTTCTCCATTTTGGCTGCTTTTTCCAACATCTCCCTCTCTTCCTTCATCTTTTCCAGTTCCTCCTTCCTCCTTCTTTGAAATTCCTCCCTCATCTTCTTCAGCTCCAATGCCTTCTTTGACTGAGGCTTAGGTTTGATAAGCGAAAACATCCATAAAGGGATCCTCTCCAGAAATCCCAAATAAGGTGAAGGGATCTCAGGCTTCTTCAAAGGGGGGGTATACGCATTCATACAGGTTTCATCAAGTTTCATTTCATCCCATTCCGCCCAAAATTTGGGGTCTCCATCAACCGAAGGCAACACTACCCTAACAACCTTAGAATCATCCAAAACAGCCAAAACAACCTCAGGCCTTTGCTTAAACCCAACATTAGGGGGTTTAATTATATGCTTAAGTCTATTTTCTCTTTTCAAGGAGATAATTTCACTATAGGGCAACCTATGGGTCACAGCAGGAATCCCTTGAGACCATTTTCTCAGCTCTTGAGGAGTCAAAGCCTCAGACTTTTTAACTGTCCGTTTCTTTTCAGATAATTTTGCGGGAGCAGCTAATGAGGGCTGGGAAAGAGAAGCTGAAATTACAGTTAAGCTTACTGATAGACGAACTAAATTCAAATGGGACTTCTTAAACCTCGATTCTGATTCTGAATGGCCACTGGTTTCAGAGTCTTCAACGTTGTGGCACGATACCACTTTTCTAAAGATGAATTTCTTATGAGATTTTGAACAAAATACAAATTGATTTTGGGGGAAAGACGAGGACGCCAAAAATGAAGAGGAAAGAGTATTGCAATAACTAGCCATCGATGCGAACAATGGAAAAAAGAAATTAACTGCTCAAACTGCTAAAAGGGATGAAAGGTGAGAGCAATGTACACATAGTTAGGATTGAATGGAAGCTCTGAGCTTGTTGATTGGCGTCAATTCCCAATATGATTGATATACAGGACAGGAGGAAGCCACCGAGAAGCTGGAGGTTTTTGACGTCATTTTCCGGCACCCATTCCCGCATATGTGCACTCTGAGACTGAGAGACTCGACTCAAATTGCAAAATCTGATCAATTGTCAATTGTGTGCGATGCTTGAGATTACTGGGAGGGTAAAGATGGTTGAATTGAAAGAAATGGGATTGAGTTGTCAAATATTTCTCGTGGGCAAAAGCGAATTTTTCCGGATAAATATTGTCGCAATTCTTTGCTTGATAATGGAAAACGATAAAGATTTTAGCTTCCGTCAACTTGTTCGTCGGGTTTACTAAGAAAACGAAAAAGTCGACGTCAACATTTTTCACAATGGGTGGGGAAATCACCCGGTAAGCCTCCCTGTCTCTCTCTTTTGTTTTGTTTTTTGGTGTTAATTTTTACAAAGTTTCAATCCTATATATAAAGAGAATAAGCTTTTCGGACACGTGTCACATAATGAGATGTCCAATCAAACAATCATAAAAATCAAGCCTAATTAGATATAGTAAAAAAAAATTGGTAACTATTTAATTTAACTTATTTACTCATATATATTTCATTAACCAAGGAAAATCAAAAACATAATAATAATTAGTTAACATTGAACAAGGTCCGGACGTATGGCACATCATCCGTGATATTGAAACGTTTCTAAACGCTTTCAGAATTTTCAAAAAAGCACAATAAATATCATTTCCAAATATGACTTCTAAATTTATGGCACATCATGATATGATTTTAAAATTCAAAAATAATGAGATTTAAATTGATCACCTTAATTCCCTCCCACATCCGAAAATTAATAAATGAAATTTATTTAAAAAATTATGGGTAAATTAACCAGAATAATATTCCGTCCATATTCACAAACTCCCCAAATATGTTAATTAATTGCTCCAAATTCTATCAGTAAACCCTAAAGTTTTAACCTATCCTCAAAATCATATAATTACTCATATAAAATATTTACCAAAAATATCTCATAACATGTTAAACCCTAAGACCATAGTTATCTTATGTACTATAAATAACCCAAATTAGAGGCCGTGACAGCAGTCTGGTGCATAAGCCAAGTCAATTTCTGTCCCGTCTGAAAGTTGAATTAGTCACTTAATTGTAATTGTGATTAAGGTAGTTCATCTTTTTTTTTTCTACACTAACTTTTTGTTGCAAATTGATGAGATGACCGTGTTGCTAAGCGATGTATGAACGAGACCATACACCATTTGTTTTTCCAGGTATGTGACTGCTAACTAATGTTATTTTTCGATGTATTTTTGATTTGTGCAGGGTAACAAAACTGTAACTGAGTTTAAGAAAATCTAATATACAAGTTTAACGATTGCAAAAATATTGGTAATGTCCAAATGCAATATTAGGATTTCAAAACTTCCAGAGTTGGCTAATCCTCCTTCTATTTGTGGATTCAAGTTATCCAAGTTATCTGATCAATAACAAAAAGTTGAATGTCGTGCCCTTTTATATGTTCTAACATATTACATATGTGTTACCACATTTAATTATAATAAAGAAAAAATGTTTGGTCATTACAAATTTCCGTATTTACTTACTGTTTGAATTTTTTTTTCCAAAATTTTAAAAATATATGTGTCGTGTTTTTATTATTCACTTTTTATCAAGTTTTTTTCCTGCACTAATTATGCCGAAATATTTTCACAATCCGAGCAACGCACTGGCCCACAACTAGTTTTTATTTATGATGAGTAAGATAGGCTTCAATGTCGAAGTTAATTTGGATGGAAATGAATTAATGGGTTAGCATATTTTGACGTACGTTAATTACGTGGTGGTGCAGATGAGAGAATAAGAATTTCAGCTGCGAAGGAAGGGTTGGAACGAAGCTAAAGTGCGTAAGATTTTTTTTATAATGACACGCATCACGATCATCTCAAAATCATGAGGAAACTTTATCCATCGTATAATGAATGGTATAATACTTGTTCCAAACGGGAGTGATGAAGCAAGTCTCTTGCCGGTGCTCTTTGGAGCTGTTTAATTTTGATCTTTTTCAATCAGCCTTTTAACACCTATTCTACTTATTGTGGAAAGCTATGTACATCTTATAACAACTATTTAACACAATATTTGTCCTTTTCACAAACATTTGTTTACTGGCAGAGATTTGGCTAATATTCAAACAAGTGCAGTGTACTAAGATAAAATTAAAAGTTTATAATCTAATGTACTATCTCCGTCTCAGAAAAATAGTTCACATTGAATTTTCAAATCTATAGTATATTTAATTAAAGCAGCATACAAGCTGCTAACGTGTTAGCACCACAACAAAAATTTTCCCGCTAAAAATCATTTTTAGTACAAAATCATTTTTGACATGCGGCACGCTAACTATTCAAAAAAAATGGAATAAATAAATAAATAAATTCCTTAATTATAGCTCAATACTAATCCCTTAATCCCTTTTACCCTATTAAAGTAGAAGACATGAAGCTTATGTGGCAACTACGTATGCATCTGTTTTGGCTCCAATGCACCATATTTCAGATTTCAGGAGTCTTTTTGCCACGTGTAAGTCTCTTTTAATTAGAAGTTATATAGTTTTTTTTTAAAAAAAAACACACGTTTTAGATGTGACCCGAGTCCAATGAAAAGATTCTATAAATAAGAATCAGTTACATTTCAAACGAATGGATATATTTATTCAAATTAAAATGTCCAATCGTACAGTTTTGCAGGCTTAATATAAACATAAAATAAAAAAACTTAAATCCAGTAATTAAGAATAATGCCTTATAAACTAATTATTTATTATTCCCTTATAACCTCATATTTATAGGTATATTTTTTTAAGCCCCAAACCATAGCATAAATAATATATACGCCAAATTAATTCCTCAAAAAATAGTAATTCAATTAGATTTTAATAACATAGTAATTTAGAAGGGGCACATGGGCATCTGCCTGGGCCAAATACCTAGTTATAGTTATATACTAATTCCTTAAAACATAAAACTTGAGTTGATAAAATTAAATTTAAAAAAAATCTCCTTAAATCAGGTGAAACATTACTACCGGTAACGCCTCCCCAATCTCCGTAAATACAAAATGGTTAAATAAAAATTAGCTCCAGCATGCAATTGGCTCAATCAAATACATAATATTGTACATCAATCAAATTTTTTACTCAATGCAATACAATTGGCTCAATGAAAATGAAGGCGATCCTCTTAATATTTTTGCACCAGCAGACAATTGGCTCAAACAAAAAGACATCAATCCTTAAAATTTAACTTAAAACATAACAACGGGAAAACCAAAGAAATTCCATCGCGCTATCACGGTAGATCAATACCGGAGAGCAAAAGATGATCAACTTTCCATTATGACAATTGGGAGATGTGTATCTAAGGATTCTACTACCAAATGTTTATTTGTTAGTTCAAGAGATTTTTCTCAACAGTATTGTAATTTGTTATTAGACAACGGGCATGACCCGCGAGTAAAAAATAAAAGATTTTTTTATACATTTAGAATTGTTCTTTACTTACACGTACAAAATTTCATGTTATCGTAATCTGTATTATAATATTATATTATACATATTATTACTCTAAAATATATTTTTTTATTTATAATTTTTTTACTTGACAATTTTTAAAACACAGACGCCCCCCAACATTGGCCTGAGACAAGTATCAGGTTTGTACTAAAAACAATAAAAAACTAAAAATTTAATGTAGATTATTTTTTTGGGACGGAGGAGTAATTCGTTATGGGCTCTATGTACTGGTATAATCATACTCGCAGAGCAACGATCGAGTCATTTGTATCTCCTTCTGACACGCTAAAAATATTCTGATGACTTTGTTTTAATTTTCTGTGGAGGTTACGATTAAGCTGATTTAGATTTCGTTCGCTCTCCATGGTTGGGTTCGGGAATGAATAGGATTTGCCTCAATACCAACAAAAAAAAAAAAGGTTTTAATTTTCAGTTTTACCTTCCACCTTCTTTCGTGGTATTTATTTGCTTACATGTCTTGATCGGACTGAGAACGAGTGAATCACTCATGGTAAAGCCGGAGGTTGTGTAGGTGAGGAAGCTGAAATCGGCAACTTTCATCTTCTTTATACAAATATTTTATATTTCATCCTGTCTTTGTTATAAGAAATTTTAATTTGTCCTAAATTTTGTCAAGTATGTTCTTTTAATTAAAAATAAAACTTTAAAAATACGTTTTCATATTCATCACATATTCTCGATTCGAGAGTTCTGGTTAGTATAAACTATAAAATAATTTTAAGATTCTATTTTTAATTATGACAATATATTAAATAAAATTTAGAACGAATTGCGATATTTCGTAATAAAAATGGGAGGGAATACTTTTAGTCTAATTTTCTTGCCAAGAAGTTGGAGTCTATAGCACAACTTTTTTTTCAAGGCATAGGCTGATACATCCGACTTCTAGGCTGACTGACAAAGGCCGTGCTTAGCTTTACAAGTTACAGAGGATCTATTCCAAACAGAAATGAATTGGCTTCACGGGCTCGTTTTTTGCCCATCCGTTTATTCGGGGGCCTATGGCAAATTGACACTTTCAGTTCATGCATAGCCAGTTAACTCTAGACAGCAATAGTTCTCATATATGAGATGAGATGAGATTAGTACACATGATAAGAACAGAATGAAGTGATTGAAGTAGAAACGTCTGGAATCAAGTCTAATCAGTCGAAGTACGATCATAGAATCAGACAATAATCCCATACGGGAAGCATCTATCTACTTTGAAAAATCGACTAAAATTCGTGGAATCACGGGCACCCGTTTCTTTTTTTCTCATGTGGCTTCTTTCGTAGAATCTTTTCACCCTTTTGAGTTTTGACCATTCTCCAACCTTCACCTCACCGCCCAAGTCTTCTTCAGTTTTCAAAAAGAAAAAAGAAAAAAAAAAGAAGAAGAAGAAAAAAGAAAAAACTCGTCTTTTATTTTAAGTTACCATCTTTCCTTGGTTTTCAGGTTCCAATTTCTTCAGGTAAAAGAAGGACTAGAAATAGTTGTTAGGTTAGATGACGAACGGGGAAGTGAACATACAGCTGCGGTAAACGGCTAAACTGGGCGGCGCTCCGGCCTGTGCTACAATGAGAGGCCCATTAGTCTCGTCTTCAAGGCCTGCTGTCCGGAGTGTTCATGGGAAGATGGATATAGCCCATGTGGTTTTGCGATTGTCTTGTCTTTTGACTTCGATTACTGCTAAACAAGCTTCAACCATTGTACTCTTATGGTTTTAACCTCTCTGTTTCTTCCAAGTGGTCCTTCTCTGACTCTCTCGAGTAAGCATCGTCTTGGGTTTAGAATTGGCCCCTCGGATTAGTTAATCAAACACCCTTTTCGTTTTGGATTCAGTGTCAGCATCTCTGCTTCAAGCTGCTTCTCTGTTTTTGTGCAGCTCTGTTCCTCAATTTTCAAGATGCTTTATTTAATGAATGAGCTTTTTTTAATCTGTTTAGAAGCCTGATGCAATTAAGCTTTAGTCACTAACATGTTCAGGCACGGATTTGTTTATTGCTTGTTTTCACAAGTCGAGATAGGGGTACATATTCTTGGAATTGATAGAGAGGCTAGCTGACGAATTCATGATGCCTTTGTTGTTGTCGAATGAATGGCTAATTGGTTCACAAATTGATTGCCATACACATACATAAGTTTGTGACCCAGAAACAAATGCCTCTTTCTGAGCTTTGGTCATAAGTATTTCGAATTTTGAGACACCAACTAACGCGTGCAATTTTGATTTGATACTTATTACTCTTACTATGTTTGATGAATAGTAAATCTATGGCATGAGCCATGAAGCATCTTCTCTTCTGCATCTTGTTGCTGTTGTTTTTGAAAATTCTGTTCAGGTACCTGGTTGGGGTTTCTACAGCAGCAGCAGTTCAGTCTCTGCTTCAACTGTTTATCAGTGGATCAACATCTTTTCAAGAATCTCCTGTGTATATGTATATGTAGTGTAGGTTCCGCAATTTCATAAATTAATATAAACCTAAAATTTAGATTCGAAGTTACACTTAGATTTTAACTTTAATATTTTTGTTTATATTTGCAATGATCATGTTTTTGGTCCCTCCGAAGAAGTAGGGAAGTTCTGCAATGGATACAAAGTGTCATTGGTATACGGAACTGTTGGTAGACTGTCCTCCCAAGAAACTAGGTATGTTTGCTTGACAACATCGGACAAGTTGAAGCTCAGCTTTGTTTTGTTTACATTTTTTTTTTTTTTTTGCTGAAATGTTCTAGTAAATATCTCGGTTGTCTTGTGTTTGTTGAATGTTCATTCGGCAGTGTTTTGTGTGAAGTTACTTTAGGATTAGGTTCTCTTGAATTATCCCCTTTATTTCTGTCTGCTGTATTCTTTTAGGAATTATAATGCCCTTAATTACGTGCAACAACAATCATTTTAATGCTAAAATGTCCAAATGGTCCTTTACATTTGGACCTACTTGTATTTACGTCACTAACATTAACATTTCAATATCATAGTCCCAAACATTATGTTTTCAAATTTTTTTCGTCCCATTTTATTGTTTCCGGCCATTAACATGCCGGAAATAGGGGTATTTTTGTCTTTTGATTTATTTTGAATTTTTATTAAAATTTAAAATATTAAAAATATTTTAAAACTTAGATTTCATTAATTTAATTATTAAAATATTATTTATTAATAAAAAATATTATTATAAAATTTCATTTAGAGTTTACTGTAGTCGGTCAAAGAAAAAAAAAATCTTGCTTTTGCTTTTTCTTTTTTTTTAAAAAAAAGAATTAAATTTTGAATTATTTATAATTCAGTAAATTTTTTAAGTTACATTGTGTCAAGGTTAAAAGTGTGACATTATTACCATTTAGGGTTTAATATAGCGGCAGTCAAAGTAAAAAAAATCATGGTTTCGCTTTTCCTTTTTTAAAAAAAACATTTGAATTCTGAATTATTTACTGTAACTCGATAAATTTTTTAAGTTACAGGGGGCTCAAAATTAAAAGTACAACATACTTACCATTTATTGTGTACCATAGGTAAATAGTAAATGATAAAAATAATTTTGAAAATAATAATAAATCTTAAAAAATTTTATGATAATATTTTTAATTAATAAATAATATTTTAATAATTAAATAATGAAATCTGAATTTTAAAATATTTATCATAATTTAAATTTTAATAAAAATTTAAATTATATTAAAAGATAAAAATACCCCTGATTACGGCATGTCAACGGCCGAAAACAGTGAAATGGAACCAAAAAAGTTTGAAAACATAATGTTTGGGACTATGATATTGAAATGTTAATGTTAGGGACGTAAATTCAAGTAGGCCTAAATGTAAGGTACCATTTGGACATTTTACTCCAAGATGTTATGAAGATTTTGAGAAATCTGGGTGGTTTTTTTGATTTTCTAGCATAAGTTTAGGAGAAACAGTCGTATGAATCTGGAGAAAGGACTAAAGAGTGGATGAGAGTTTTCTGTTGAATTAGAAATTAGATATGCGGGCAAATATTTTGTCCGCTTGACGTATCAACTTGCTCTAATCATTTTACTGGGATGTGCATCTTGCAGAAGGATACAACCTTCCAGAACGAAGTGCTTTAGGTGAATCTGTCATGTTTCTTGAGCAAATCTTGAATCTTGAGAATATTGCCCGCCCGTAAGATGACCATAAAACCAATTGAATATTGTCATAAGGAATCAACTTGAAATAGCTTGAGCAAGAACAAAATTACGATGTCTTTAAGATCTGAAATTCTAGTGTCAATAAATGTGCATTGAAACTCTCAACCTCAGTATGATTATTAAACCAATTGATCACAAAACTTCTACTACTTGGGCTGCTGTCTTATGCGCTAGTCGCACTATAGCTGATTTTGCTAAATCATCTAATAATCCAGAAAGGAATGCCGCTGCTCTTGTATCTTTCACCTTAATGGTGCCTCCTCCTGAGGGGTTTTCAAAAGTATTCTTTGATGGTGCGACCTCTGTCTCATGACTTTGTGCTGGTGGTGGAGTCTTGATCGAATCCCCTGCAGGTTCTTTTATGCATGCACTATCAAAGAACTTCCCAGGTATAACTGACTCTGATGAAGCCGAATGCCTTTCGCTTCGAGAAGCTTTAGTGCTTTGTCGTTCCCTCAATCTCCAAGATGTTGTAGTCATTGGGAATTCTGGAAGACATCTTTTTCTCTTGCCCAGTCTCTTCGTGTTCAGGGTTTTCACTGGATCAACCGGCATGATAACTCTGAAGCACATGCCCTAGCTCGTTTTGGCGAATCCTCCTCTGATTTGGAGACTCACTGGAATTATGCTCTGATTTGGCGAATCCTCCTCTGGACCTGTTTTCCAGAAATTTAATTAATTGATATTACTTTTTTCCTCATAAAAAAATAAAATAAAAAATTGATGCGTAAATATGTGAGTAAATAGTATGATTGTAAACCCATATATTTAACATTAGGGTAAATATTGATTAGTCGGATTATTATATGGTTATGTCAAATGTGTCAATATTATTTGAACCTATCCTGTTCAATAAGTAGATCGAAACCATAAGCTGATTTGTTTAATGTAGTGGTCCAAAATCACAATGTTAATCGCTTATTTTCTATTGGGTTTGTGACTTTGTGTACGTTTGTATATCTCATACAAAGCCTTTTGTATACATTGTCATGCATTTTTGTACTCGTACATTTACGACATGAATTAAAAATGCAATACGTGTTTCTATATCGATGCACTGATTAAATGTTTCCCATGATTAACATTTTAGATTAGAAATGAAATGACACATGAATACTCCACAGGGACATTAAAATTAGAATGAAATTGAGTATTTTAGAGATTTTGGTTTACTAAACAAACTAATCTAACCAATAAATTTTGGCTTGAAAAAATTCATTGCAAAGAAAAAAACTATTGTTGAGAAGTGGACTCATTAGGGAATCATTTGGGAACTGGATCATTTGTAATAAAAATCCAACAATTATTTCGAAAAAGAAAACTACAGGCCAGTCATTCATTCAAGTAAACATGAAGAGTGCCTAACAAAATATATATAATTTGAATCTATTAGGAACATAAAACTGGATGCTAATTGCTAAACCATATAGAGAGGGACCAATTCCGAAAATGATTAGTCATTCTTAAAACTTTGACATTACTCCTCCATTGTGGCAGGGCTTGGGCATTATCCCATTCTCGTTAACAGTTCTTGTGTTCCTGATAATCCAATGCCTGGCAGTGGACGGATTACAACCGCGCATAGTTTCCAATTCTGTTTTCAGCAGTTTCTCTTTGGCATAGAATGCATTATTGTGATTTATCAAAAAAAAAGAAAAAAAGAATGCATTATTGTGAGGATTATCTTCTCCTGGTTCTTCGACTTTAACATTAAACCCAACAACCTGGTCACCATACTCAAAAAATATAAAATAAAATAGTAGTAATGTGATACATGTATCTGTTTTTTTTAAAAAAGCACATGTGACATATAAATTGCACTTTTTGTATAACTTATTGTGTCATTGTGTTTACTAATTTTTTTTATTTTAGGACGAAAGTGTACAATTTACAATATGGAGTATTTTGAAGGACATGGTATATTTTTTTTTGAGTAAGGACATGGTATATCATTGTCTCTTATGAATTATGAGAGTTATGTGTCTGCCCAATTTTATTTAGTGTAAAGGTTTCTTTTTCGAGGAAAATAGGCTGGCAGAAGGCTGTGGGCTTTAGACGATATAGCCTGTTAACCTATAGCAGCCATGCAAAGCCACAGGGAATCTATTCCCAACATATTTGCATTGACTTCACTCACGGACCCTTTTTATCCATCAGTAAAATACTAAAATGTACACTTTCCTATCGTCCTCATCTACACTACTGCTAATTAGCATTACTCTAAACATTTGATCCAAAAAAAAAAAGAAAAAAAGCATTACTCTAAACATGCAGCCAAAACGTAATTGCGTTTAGGCCTCTAAGATTGCTGGATAAACCAAATATTAAGAACAGAAGGAAGTGATTGAAGTAGAAAGGTTTGGAATCAATATAATCAGTCATAGAATCAGACAAAACCATACGGGAAGCGTATCGACTAAATTCATGGAATCACGGGCATCAATTTTTCCATTTTGGCTTCTTTTGTAGAATCTTTTCACCCTTTCGAGTTTTGACCATTCTCCAACCTTCACCGCCCAAGTCTTTTATTTTCCCCAAAAAAACACTTCTTCTTTAAAGTTACCATCTTTTTTTCTTGGTTTCAGGTTCCAATTTGTTCAGGTAAAGTAGGACTAGAGCTTGTTTTTATGTTGGATGATGAACGGTGGTAATAATAGTAATACAGGGGAAGTTAACATTCAGCTGCCGGAGACGGCGAAAATGGGCGGCGCTCCGACCAGTGTTACAATGAGCGGCCCATTGGTCTCGTCTTCAAGGCCTTCTGTCCGGAGTGTTCATGGGAAGATGGATATAGCTCATGTGGTTTTGCGATTGGCTTGTCTTTTGACTTCGGTGACTTCTCTGGCAGTGATGATTACTGCTAAACAAGCTTCAACCATTTCACTCTATGGTTTTAGCCTCCCGGTTTCTTCCAAGTGGTCTTTCTCTGATTCTCTCGAGTAAGCATCGTTTTTGGTTTAGAATTGGGCTTCTCCAATTTGTTAATCAAACACCCTTTTCGTTTTTTATTCAATTAGTACAATAGCCTCTGTGTTTCAAGCTGCTTCTCTGTTTTGTGCGGACTCTGTTCCTCCATTTGCAAGATTTTTTTTATTTTTTTTATTTTTATTTTTTTTTAACGATTGATCATTTTAGCAGCCAGATGTAATTGAGCTTTAGTGATTGAGGTGCCTAACTAACATGTCCATGCATGGATTAATTTGCACCAGTTTCAATTTATCATGGTGTTGCTTCTTGCTTGTTTCCGGAAGTCGAAATTTTTGGATAAACGTTAATCCTTGGAATTGATAGAGAGGCTAGTTGGCGAATTCAAGATGCCTTTGTTGTTGAATCAATGGCTAATTAGCTCACAAATTGATTGCCTTGTGACCCAAAAAACAGAAGCCCTTTTTTAGCTTTGGTTTTAAGTATGTCGAATTTTGAGGTTGCTGCTCGTCAACAAATGACTGCCCAGTATCCATCTATTGCATGCAAATTCGCTTTGATACTGAATGCTTATGATGGTGCAATCACATTAACATATACTCTCACTGTGTTTGACGAATAGTTGGCATGAAAAATGAAGCGTCAGTTCTTTTTGAATTGGATTTTGAAATATCTTCTCAGGTACCTGGTTGGAGTTTCTGCAGCAGCAGCAGTTCATTCTCTGCTTCAACTGTTTATCAGTGGATCAAGATCTTTGCGAAAATCCCCAGTCATTCCCTCTCGAAATCATGCGTGGCTTCTTTTTGTCGGGGATCAGGTAACTGCCTAATTAGAAATTGATACTATAGCGTTCCATTTTTCTAGCCAAGATTCTATCCCATTTAATGTTTCAGCTCAAGGTGTTTGGGATGAGTCTTTGTGTATAACATAAGGCGTCATACAAACTAGTACTCCTTCCGTCACGAAATTATTGTCCAGTTTGCTGAACTGCTACTGTTCAAGTAATATTGATGAAATTTTCTGTATCAGATATTTGCATTTGCAATGATGAGCGCTGGATCTGCTGCATCAGGAGTCACCAATCTGAACCGTACCGGGATTCGACATTCCGCGCTTCCGAATTTCTGCAAGCCGTTGAATGTTTTCTGCAATCGTGTTGCGGTGTCCATCGTATTTGTCTTCTTCAGTTGCTTCTTGCTTGCGATTTCAGTGGTTCTTGATGTGATCTGGCTGTCCAAGTATTAGGAGGATTCTAACATAGTAGACTCTTTTTTTTTTCTTTTTTTTTTTCCTGATTCTCTTCTAATCGTAATGGCATGGAACTCTATTAACAGGTGCTCTACGAGGACTTTTTTCTGTAATGATTTCAACATTTCCTGCAGCTTTTTCGGAAATATCGTGTGTTTATTGAATCCACATCGTGAGGTATTATTTATACAAGATGATAAACATATCCTGATCTAAATCAAAATCATATCATGGGTTTAATGACTGGATTAGATAAAATCATAGCATATTTCCCTACAATCACGTTTAACAACTGCTTCCAAAATTTTCGACACAACCATTTCTTGTCAGCATCGTGCATAACGGAAACCCGAAAATCAAAACCTAGAACAAAATCGATAGCCTGATAACAGAGACCTACTGCATTTGTGGCTTAATGTTATTAATATCCTCCTACTTTCTTCCCTTGAGCCATGACGGATACAGATCTAGTCGCCGGGAATCCCCGAAAACATTTGATGAGATAGAGGCTGTTAAAGCTAGATTCGTAGATTAAGACATGACCAGAAGCATGTGTTCTTAAGTAAAAAACTAAAAAGACTATGTTTAATCCCACATCGGCAGATTGACCTGCTAAGGATCAAGATATAAGCCCCAAAATAATTTGGTCCACTGCCGAACCTAGTGACGTGGGCTTTTTAAACTAAGTTGTAGCAAAAGAAGTTGTTGTGGACAATTGAGATGTTGGGTCTGGGCTTCTCCGGATTAGCGGCTCGGATGCGTGGACTTCCCCAACAATAGCGAGGATCCGGTTCCGATGCTTTGAATTCCCCAAACAATAGCGGCCCACAATTATAATAAAGAGCACCAATGTGTACCTAGCGTGTCTTTCACACTCCCAATAATAGTCTTTTTTTTTGGATTTTTTAATTTTCAAATCTCCATAACAAAAAATATAAATACTCAATTATCTTAACTTTTTTTTTTTCTGCTTATAACCGCTCAAGCAAGAACGAAATTCTTTCGGTTACTGCGCTCTCGAAATCTACTTCGTGCATCAAAAACCTGGATTTTATAATCAAGTAAATACAAATTAAAGTGAGCATTACAATAATAAAACATCTTATTCATATGTTTTTGCGAGTTTCTCTCTGTGGATTTGTTTAAGATCTTCTTTGATGAATCTGTGGGTTTATTTCAAATCTTCCTTGATGAATTGTCAGAGATTTATGGATTCAGATCTTCCTTGTTGTTCATCAATTTGTTTCTTCTGTTGTAAAAGGAACCATTATTCATCAATATCAGTTACCTTATTCATGTATTCATCCGTTGAGTATAAGTGAGCTCATTTATCAGTATCATTGATTGTACGGTTATTCATCAGTATCATTGAGCTAATATTTTTATTCATCCATTATCAATTAATCAATATTTTAGTCAAAATAGAGTTTTGATGGAATATAAAATCTCACTTATTATAATATTTTCTTTGTTCGATCAGCGTCAGAGAAATGTTTATTAAAATGAACTCGATCGGTTGGGAATCAAATATTTGGCAGAGTTGCTGAAATCAAATAACAAAAAAAGACGTATCGAGTATTGGAGATTCATTCAAGATCTTATATGTTAAAACCAATGACTAGTTTTTTTTTTTTTTGGTTCAGTTTTGGTATAGTATAATACATAATTAGAAGTTTGTTAGTTTAGTTGCTCATATTAACTCATTATAAAATATACTCCCTCCGTCCCATAATTATTGTCCAGTTTTACTAAAATGAAAGATTTTGTTTTTAGTCAAACTTAACTATATTTTACCTTAAACAACCGGATACACCCCGACACAAGTAATTGTTTAACCACTAAGATTTTATGGATAATGTTTTTTACTAAGGACAAATGTGTAACTTGATCCATAAAAAGTCAAATTGGACAATAATTTTGGGACAAAATTTTTTGGGCAAATTGGACAATAATTATGGAACGGAGGGAGTACTTTTGTTAGTTTTATTGATCAAAGTTATTCATTGTGTTACGCATTATTCATCCAATAATGTTATCTCATTCATTCATTAAAGTACAACTATTCATCTAGCCAAACTACATATATGCTTAATTTTAGTATTGTTATTCATGTAGAATGAGATCATTATTCATCAAGATTTAAATAGAGTAGAATACCATATTCAGTTGGCTTGCACAATATTGAAATGATATCCTAATAAAATAAATCGTTATAAAAAAATTTCTCATAAATTAAAATAATATAAAAACTAACAGGATAAGATAAGAAAAATAGTTTAAAATTAAATGTGTGTGAAAAAAAGGGATAAAATTTGGGACATTAAATACACGTGTAGCTGAAATTTAGGGAAAAAAAATCCAATTACATACAAAAAGAGTGTATTACACTTGTCCACGTGCTCCTAATTATTTGCCCACGCCCAATTGGACCAACAATCTTTTGCCAATTCTTCCAATTTTTTTTTTTAATACTATTCGTCAACCTTTAGTTATTTCTTTCTCTTCTCTCTTCAATTTTTTTAATACGATTCTTCAACTTTTAGTTATTTCTTTCCCTTCTCTCTTAAACAAATAATTGAATCTTTTGTTTTGTTACAAATACGATAACATACAAATATATGTCTTCGTGTCTTGCAAAAAGCTACTACTACTGTATTTGTTAAAGATGTTTCTATATTTATAAAGAAATCAATTTAAAAGCATAAACTATACATTAATAAAATCACAAAAAAATTCAGCACGAATTCGGATTAGTCGAAACAATGAATTTGGACACTGGATACGTAATATACCAAAAAATAAAAATAAAGCAAAAAAATTAACTTTTTTTTTTGAGTAAAATAATATTTTCTAAAAAAATTACAAAAAGAGAAAAGAAAAAATGTGTGACCAAATGAGAACTAAGGGACAAAACGTTATTATCCTAACTAGAAGGATAAACAAGGTTGTCTTCTTCAGTCGCTTCTTACTTGCGGATTCAGTGGTGCTCGGTGTAATCTAGCACAATATTAGGATTCAACATTGTAGGCTCTTGAATTGTCTTGTAATTGTAATAGCATGTAACTCTATTAACAAGTGCTCGATGATTCACATTCTGTAATGATTTAACCATTTCCAGCAGATTCTTTCCCGAACAATCGGTGGTAAGCCTACGGAAATCCATTCAGGATAAGGGTTATTACCGGCAATTACAAGGCTACCATTTCTCATTGCTCGTACCATTGTGTCCCTAAGCACCTTCTTTTCTCACATCAAATGTAGTCACCATATAATGAATCACTGGATGAAAAGTTAAAAGAGAATGTTCGTCCCAAGCTGCAAAAGATATGAACAGAAACGAACTCTCGTAACCACATTTTCATGCAACAAAAAGCCAGGCGAACCTTCTTTCTGTTACTATCAAAGTGCACAGGGAGGAAGTTAACCAACATGATCAACTGCTGTGTGTCCAAGTCACACAGACAGTTCAGAACATTAGCTCATCTACAGACTGCAACTACAGAACAAATTCTATAAATTATCGTCTTCACTACATCTCTGTACATACAGTAAATTGCTATTCACCTGATACAGAAGATGCATCCAATTCGAATCTCTTGGCCCAGGAACACGTTTCAAAACAACGCCATAAGTTGCATGATCCTCACATATATGATAGTACATTTATTATTGAGTCAGCTGCTATATCACGGAATCTGCCATTCCGGTGTTGTTGATGCAGATCTAAATGCAGTATCAATGACTTCCTTTTGGTGGTGGCATTGTGCTGAACAACGAGATGGGCAATTTTTAAAATAGCTACAGAAGTCCCTGATAAACTTCCTCATCCTCCAAAAAATTTTATTAACCCAAAGAGGAGACCGTAATCTTCCATTAATCTAATCGTTTAAGATATATCCACCGCATTTTAGTATACCATTTAAATTATTCCTTTTGACCTAGAACTTCACATATCTAATTTCTACATGGACTTAGGCAATGACTTTAGGATAATCAGCTAGCTGTGGAGATTGGTGGTAGTTGAGGGCCTTAAGGCTTTAACATTATTCCATCAGTCTTCATCAACCATAATGTTCCCGGAATGGAGCCTCTAGCTATTTTCGTTTCAGCTCATAGAGGCAAGTTAATCATAACTAATATCAATGTCACTATAAGAAGAGCAGACTATGAACTATACAAAGTAGCTCCTTGGTTCTTAAATGCGAGATGCACAACTTGGTTCTAAACTTCTAATTACTTGCAAATAGAATAAATAAACATAAAATTAATTTTCATATGTTAAAAGCTAAACATACTCAAATCACCATTTGGACGGGCAATAACTCAAGTAGAATCGTGACTAACTACCACGTTAGCCCCCATAAAATGTGTAAGAAACTTGTTCACGCCTGGGCAATGATCCTCCACAAAACCTTCAAGGGGTACACACCTCCATTCTTCACCAAAACGGCCTTGGCTTTCGCGACACTGCATTTCCCACATACAGAACATGTACATAAACCAATGGTGAAAATAACAACAAATCAGAACTGCCACATGAAATTGTATTGTGTTGTTTGTGGAGCGTAGCTGCTCAATTCCTTATTTGATTTCAACATGTTGTAATACATGCAAATGTCAATAAAATCCTCATAAGCTAGACTTCATACAACACAAAAGCAGCAAACATCGGGCATTTATGCTTAACTATCATGTAAAATTTTTCAACCCTTATCATAGTTTAATCACACCACAACAGTATGCAGTTATAAATGTGAATTCTCGGGAATTAAGTCAAGGACCGAGGAGGTGGAGCATGAGGGGATCTAAATTCAATAATAATAATAAAAAAAAAACCCTCATGCACCGTCTCTCCATAAATTAAATCTATACTCAATGTTCTCAGAGCTGTTGCCAGAGGAATCAGAAAGGAACCAAGACTAGTCAAGACTTCCGGCTAAATGGATGTAAATTTTACACCATCAGCATAAGCATTCCCAAATAAAAGCATATCTACCTCATTGGGACGATATTTCCACATGTTGCAGGCAGAAACAAACTGTGGTTCCTTTTTGACCACCGGAAACTTCAGCTTCTGTGGCGGTATAGCATCTCGTGGTGGGATTTTGCCTTTGAACCGCTCTGCAAAATGCACGTCCAAGTAAAATTTTAGAAATGCTTCGTAAATGGAAAAAGTTTTGGCTAAATGACCTACTTCTAGTTCCAGGAAAAGAATCACTCATCTTTCCTGTTCACTATTAAGTTTATTATCAAAATCTAAACCGCTCAAGATATTCATACTTTCTTCACAAAATTAGAAGGATTTCTAAAGCTTGAAGTCTATCATTATAAGAGAAGGATGACAAAGCAAGGGAAGGACATTTGTTGAAAAACTAATTCTCATGTCACAAGTTCCCAAAACAAAGTACCTAAGCATATCTAACAATTAACAGCGCAAGTTGCAAAGAATTCAAAAACTTGGTCCATTTAAACGATATGGAGAAAAGAACAATGTAGCAATCGGAGTTTCAAGGCGGCTCCAATGTTACACAACACACAGACTGGGAACTCACCAATTCTCTCAGGAGGGCAATCTCTCAGCTATTCCATACGCACACGGCAAACATCGGGTTTCCCCCTGCGAGGATCATTTGAGCACTGAAACACAACACACAAGTAGAGGGTAGAATGAAAATGATAAAAAGTGGCAAATAGCCATAACAATAACAATAATTCAACTAAAGCGGAAAGAAGATAGAAAGAGAGGAGGAAGACCTACATAATACATTGCCCCACGAATAGCCTTTTCCCATCTTTCCTCAGGCGAACATCGATTGTACCATGCAAGAAGATAACGGGGATTCTCACAGTCACATGGGTCCCCTGGTCCTGCGGAATCCGTTTCAAAATATATTATCCTTCCCAAAATTCGATTAAGAATCGAGGTTTTGCGCCAAAGAACCGAGTAATAACTTAGTACTTCCTCCGTCCTATAATTATTGTCCAGTTTAGGTTATCACTTTTAGTACAATTTGTACTAGAAATGAAAACTTAAACTGGACAATAATTTTGGGACGGAGGGAATATTATTATTATTATAATAATAAGTAAATAAATAGGGCTTACGGGGCCAAAGAAACTCGCGGGGTGGGGCACGACGCTCCACCCCTCCGATGCCGGAAGCGGCTTTGGATGCCATGATTCCAGACGATGGCTGCTGTGGCTATGGAATTTGGGAATTCAGATATCGGACACCTAAATTGAAGGAGTCGAAAACTGTGAAAACTGAAAAGCTTTCAAAAGGCTGAGCGCTAAATAAGTAAATAACTGGTACGTTTTTGAACCATTTTGCGCGCGTACTTGTTTTTTTCGAAGGGTTAATATCAAATACACCCCGAGTTTTAATTGATTATCTAAAAATAACTTTACACTTTGAAAAAATATTGGATAAATCTCTAACCGAAGAAGCTGCCGCACCCATTTTGTTTTTATTTATTTACTGAAGCTGAATTTAATTTAATTATTATATGGACATAAATGATAAATCTATGGCATGAGCCATGAACAGGAAGCATTCACTCTTTTGCATCTGGCCGTTCCAAGCTGCAAAATGGAACGAAAAGGAACTGAAAATTGTAACAGGACGAACAAGATCTACGGATTTCACTCTCATGTGGTCATGCAATAAGATCATTTCCTGATCTCATATGACAAAGAAAAGAGACATTGAAAAGCCAAATAAACATTCTTTCTGTTACTATCTAGGTTTTGAGAGAGTATCATTTCTCTCTCTTGACTGAACATGTGAGCTGCCACAAAGTCATGCCCTGTTTCTCGATATAGGGTCTCTTGACTAAACATTGGAGCTGCCACAAAGTCAATCCCTGTTTCTAGATATAGGGTAATTTTCAAATACGTACTGATGATTTTGTACACTGCCAGACTTGCAACAAAAGAAAACTAGTGTTTCTCTAAATCGGTCCACTCACAGCCTAATATAAAGGATAACTTAACAACACAAAAAACTCTAGTACAAGAGGTTTCTGTAGAGATTGCGCCAAAACGTGGTGGGTGAGATCAGGATAACTAAGAGCATAATAAGGCATACAAGGACACCAATATAATCACTCAAACGCCAAACATGTAGTCAACAAATTTCGAGACCACAGATTTTGCAGGGGCAGCTACTGTTCCACCAGATTGCTTGCTTGCACTGCCATTCTGCAAATAGTAAGGTTGAGGAGAAGTTCTGGATAAATTTAACTCTGAAATCCGATTGGAAGGCGCAGGAGGCAAAGTCATAAATCCTTGGTTTTTAGCCCTTTCATTTAGAGCCTCACGTTGCATTGGGTCCAGTAGTTTCACGCCAATCATGAGTGCTCCATTAATTTGCATCCCATTTTTGCTGAGGGCTTTGTGAGCATCAGCCCGATTCTGCATCAATAAGTGACATAAATAAGTTTCTGAGTTTTACCAATTAATTCAGAAAGTCATGCGGAGAGGGGATCAACTGCTTCGTGTCTAAGTCACGCACATCTACAAAGTGCAACTTCAGGACACCAATTTTCCAAGTCATACACGTACCCGATACAGTTAATTGCCAGTTACCTGATATAGAAGATGCATCCAATTGGCCTCTCTTGGTCCAGGGACATGTTTCAAAACAACCCCACATTTTTCAAACTCCCGCAAAACTAAATTTGTGTCCACTGGAGAAAATCTGTAAAAGCAAAAGTTTGAAAGAATCTTTAGACATGATTCCTTCTTCCAATTCCAAACAAATGTTGTACCAGACAGAAATGAACAAAGGTTAATAGAAGAAAGGGATGACAACTGAACTGATGACCACAATATGATACTAAAGTACTAAACTTCTATCTCATGTCCACAAAGTGAGCACCCATCTCATTTCAAACTAGGTTATGCAAACCTACACAAGCAAATCCGTGCAGATCTAATCTTCAGAAAGCCTAAGCTATTGTTGTTTCCTCGCAAGATAAGTTAGAAGACAGGTGGACAGAATGAAAATAAAAGGAAAAAAAGAAATCATAAGGGCTAGCTCTGAGACTTAACATTCGTAATAACTAATTCTAACACAATCCATTCACAACTGACTTTTCCTCTTTACTCACAATTATTATCAAGTGGCAGAATTGTTTTTTATCTTCTCCACTCTCCAAAAGTGTTGGTGAATGATATCTAAACAAACTGAATATCAAGTCACAGAAAAATAACTCAGGTAACACAATTTTGACCTTGAGCGTATATATGTTAAGAAACAGGATTTAAGAATTTCATCATTACTGTCATGAAAGAACTACAAAATATGCAGCTACATTTATTAAGAATGTTACCGATGCTCAGTGAAATGTGCACATGATACAGTTTGCAGACTCGGGGAAAGAAGCATTACCCGTAGACGGTCACCCATTCTTCCTCATCAAGTCTGCCAACTGGAACTGAATTTTTCTTCATTTCTGGCCTTGCAACCTCCCTGGGAGGAGGCAGTGTGATCAGGGCACCAGGCTGAACCACCCCTTCAACCGGAGAACCTTTTCCCTTGTCTTCTTGCTCTGGACTACTACCAGCCTTTGAAGGTGACCACAAACTCAAGCTAGCCACAGGACTCAGCTGGCTCTGCTGCCTACTACTTCCCGCAACATTATAGGATGTACTGGCCTCGGACTTGCTCTTAGGAGTCGAAAACTGCCTGCCAAAGCTATGAACCGGGGGTGTTCTTGGGTCAGACCTACTTTCAGGAGACATCGGATAATCCAACATTCCCGACTCTGGGGACAAATCAGTCTTGTCTTCAAGGGTGAACATGGGAGGTGGTGGAAGATCAGAGCTGGGAAAATTCTCCCGCCATAGAGCTGAGACGGCAGCAGCTTGGCCCGGGGTCGCAAACTTCGCACTCGTTTTCCTAGAAGAAACCGGGGTACCCAAATCCTGGAAGAACCTCCCATGAGATCTTGGGGTTCTCTGTATAGTACCACTCATCTTTCCCCCCTTATAACAGCCTAATTATACAGGGTAATGAAACAATCAGATGAAGGAATTCAAGCTCCTGTCACTACATCAACACAATCCAACATCTCATGTATATTACTCGGGACAAATTCAAAATCATTTGAATATATTATTGCAGCTTGAACATAAAACAGTGGACATGAACAGGAATTCAAGTTTACGCATCAAAAGCAAAACTCATAACTTCGAAACTCTGGGAATAAGCAAACAACAAGTAGAAATCATGAGCAGTAATCAGGGAGCTCGGAGCTGGCAAATTCGCGTGAAATACAGCTAAAAGATTTAACAAAAATTACAAAGAAAAGGAAGAATTGAGACTTCAACCGAAAGATTACCTTTCCGATGGAGAGTATTTGTCGATGAATTGATCGGATTATGCGGTTAGCCCAGCTGAAACGGGAAGGGGGAGTGGTGGTAGTGGAACCCTAGGCGTCCGCTCGACGCATTATAGAATTCAAATAGAAAAGAGAGCGTTCGGCGTCCGCTCAAAGTCTTTATTATACCCCAAAAAGAAAAAAATATATATATATATATATATATATTATAAAAATAATTAAAACTGTTTAAAAAGTTTCTGTAAAGTGGAGCCTAACAAGTTTCCAACCATTATGTGTTTTTGTTGTTTTCAGCAGCGTTTTATTTTCAATTTAGTACGGGATGTTTTACAGCCCAAAAAGGAAAAATAAATGAGTTGAATGAATCATAAATACATATATTGTTCAATAACAATCGTAAGGATTCCAAAAGGAAATTACAGCTAGCTGAATCAAATTGATTAATGACTTCATTATGGGTGTGAAAGAACAAAACATTTACAATAATATAAGATTAAATAAAAATATCAACAAAATAATCCCTCGCATTTCATCATTTTGTTACTTTTTTATAAAAAAATTTTTTTGTAATGAGTACAACTAAACATCAACATATTTTTATCTCTCTTTTTTATATATATATATATATAAATGGGCTATACTGAGTTTTTTTTTTTTTTTAAACGGTGGCTATACCGAGTTATGTAAAACCTATTCTTGTGATGGTCATGCAAGTTAAATTAACTAAACCTTGTGAGTATCACAGGTTGTGCTTCGGCATCTGCAGTTTTCAATTATTGCCGTTTTTTTCTAAAAGGGTTCAAATGATTAATGACTTGCACTTTTTCTATCAAGAAACTTAATTTAACCATGTTTATTGATATATCTTTCTGAATATAGTACATTGTAGCTCCATAGAAGAACATAAAAGTAGTTCATATGATTGTCTTCGCAAGCATGTGGAACTAAAAATACCCTCTCTCTGTCGGTTCGTTCTTTTTGTTGTACTCCAATAAGTACAATCATAATAATCTGAAAGAACAAATTAACCGTCCTGTTTGATTAAAAGGGAGCTGAAACGGGTTCCTTGATGATCAGTTGAGATTGATCCTGTATTTCTGGAGAAGAATCATTAACCACAGGAGAAGAACACGAGCATTGGCATGGTGTCTGGGTGGTGTTATTATTGCCGCCATTGTCGCCGACCAACTTGCGGACGACCACATCCTCAACTATGTTCAGTGTTTCTATTTCTTGCACCATCATTACCATTTCTTTGATCGACGATACTGGTTTAAGCCCCTGGAGTTGATGGTAGTATACGATACAAACTTATCAATTAAATCATTCAAAGGTAATTGTTCCAGTTAAAAATAAAGAAGAAGAAAGAATTGAGACAAATCAAATCAAATGATTAATTATGCGAGTTGCTTCTTACCTGGGCAAACATGCTAGTTGCTTCTTTTTCTTCCTTCTTTTGAATTATACCAACCGCAACTTCCTGTGCTCAAATGAACCAAATGTGTCCGATCAACAAATAATTCAAAAATCAAAATAGTACTAATTAACAAGAACTAGCTCCTCCACATCCCAAGGGAAAAAGTGGTACTCGTTCTATCTAATAGAAATAGTTCAAATTGTAAATTATACTCGATATTATTGTAACGAAAAATAATCTCTTAGCATAAAAAAGTAGTTCACATTCTAAAAATTTCTTTAATACAGTTGTTTCTATGATACTACATTTCTAAGATTCTCTCTTGCTTTGTATATCGTTCTTCGAAACTGGACAATCATGACGGACGGAATGTTAACTATGTATTGACTTGTCTAAGTTGATATAGGGGAACCTGTGGAAGCGAATGCTACAAAATTACAAATGTGAGATTCCATCATGTAATCACTCCATATATAGGGTCATTCAACACCAATGTTCGATAGACAAATCCTGGTTTATTAATACATTCATCTTTCCATCCTCTCATTAGTATTCCTATATGAAATGACTAACTAGATGAAAGTAACTATCGTAAATAAAGAAAATAATAATGACTCAAAATTTGAGATGAATGTAGTAGGATTGAGATCAAAGGTAAGATACATACCCTAGCTTGGTTGAGTTGGCCTTCCCTCAAGGTTCTGGGCTCCAATTCAATGGAACAGCAATAGTTAGCCATGGACGACCAAGTGACAGTACTACAAAATACACTCTGAAATTCATATAAAATCTGCTTGGATCGCAGCCCATAACAGGGTTGGTAGCTAAGATGAGATGTTGTCTCTTTCGCCAAATTATATAATACCTTCTCACTACTTATAATGCCAGCCTTTGATGATGATCAAATGATAATTACTGTAGTGCTTATCTGTTTTGAGTTGAATTCACGGGTTAGTTTGGATTTTTGAGTACATGAACGAAAAATTTGAGGTGAACAAACAAAAGTAAAGATGGTTAGCAGTTGCGGGTTTGTCACCCGTGAATGTGATAAAGCAAACATCAAGTCTTCATCATCCTTCTTTTCTTTTCTTTTTTAATCTTATAAGTTAAAATAGAAGTTGAAGAGGTAAATACCTTTCCAAATCAGTTGGTTAATTGACATCGAGATTTTGAGATGGTAATTCCACACTCGTGATTTCTCCATTTTCTATTGCCTTCTTGGTGAGGCATTGAAATAGTGTGTGTGTGTGTTGAAGACTTGTCCACAAATATGGCCAAGACCATATTTCACCCTACGTTACCACCAAAAAAAAAAAACTTGATTGGGCTATCTCATTTGTAAATGTATCTCAATCCTATACATTTTACTGCCTAATAGTACTTATTTCGACCCGCCTGTATGTCTAAATGATGTAACTTTCATTGAACATTACTCTCATTCGATATTATAAGAAAAATTTAGATTCTTAGAATGAACTTCACTATGATGTAATCTGACGTCTTATTAAAATTTAAAAAAGAATACCTTCCAATGTTCTTGATATTGTAATGGGCCAGGTATATCATGTCATCAGTTTGAAATGGGCCTAAAATGGCTTAAATAGGCCTGTGAAGAAAAACTTCTAAATTTGCTTCTCCCTCAGCCCAAGTTAAAATTCAATTTTTCCTTTTCATTCTCCCTTTTCCTCACCAAGCCTTCCTCAGCCCCCACATAATCATCCATTTAGATAAGCAAGTTTGCTTATGTTTGTTTTGTTTGTTTCTTTAGTGTGTGTTTTTTTTTTGTGTGTTTTTTATCGAAAATGTAAAAAGGTGTATTGTAAATATAAAAAGATATGCTAGATAGAACAACTATTATTATATTATTCGAAAAAAAACCATGAAAAAATGAAACAAACAAAGCCATTAATGAAACGTTGTGATTAGATTGTTACATTAAAAATAAGATGTTATTTTCAAGTGAAAAATGCCACCCATTATGAGTCGGTTAAAGAGCAATAAGTAGTGAGTTCACTTAATTCACATGCTCTACTATTGTAATAAGACGATAGAAATTTAGTCACTATTGTTGACGATAAATACTCACAATGATATGTAACTTAACCTTGACTTTTTGTTGTTTGTTTCACTTTGGAAGCATTATTAAAATTTGATGCAAAAACGTGAGCAGTTTTTGTGACACCCAAATAAACGACAACAAAGTCATTGTCACTGTGGAAAAAAAAAAAAAAAAGAAGGAAAGAAGAAAAGATTAGCTAGGAATGGAGTGTTGGGGGGTGTTAGAGAAGGGGAGAGTTTGATTGAGGGATTCACTGGGAGTGGGGAGAGAGGACAAGAATAATGGCGGAGTGTTGCCAAATAACATGGAAAGATCCCAAGACATGCAACACCCAGCCATGGCGCCTTACACTTGATAATTTGGATATATTATCCGGAAAAAAAAAAAAAAAACACGCACACACACACTACACAGCTTGCAATTAACTAAAAGCTTCAGTCATGCACGTCACTTGTTGCATGTGCTCCTTCTTATCTCCCTCACATGCACTACGTCCCCTCCCCTCCTATCTTTTCCTATATTTTACATCACCACCCCCTCCACACAATTTCCCACAAATTTTAACCCCAATACACCTCTTTATTTCTTCTTCTCACGTCATGCTAGAGTTTAAAGAAAACCTTTTAAGACCAAAGTTGGTCAAACCATCCTCTAAGAAGGGTGTTTCCTGGGCTAGCTATGGAGAGATCATGAGCGGAGTCCTCTTTTTTCATAATTGTATGATGAAAAATCCAACAATGTCACGAATGAACTTCAATGACTATAGTTATTCCTTGAAGAAGAGAACTAGCTGAAATATAAACTATAAAGATGATGATGATGAATAAATAACTTTGGGCATTATTCCAAATAAGTCCATATCTGAAACTGTGTATAGAGATTTAGTGTATCATGTACTTACTACTGCAGAATATAATCGATCATGTATAAAAATATAATATGTCACGTTATGCTCTGAGTACACTGTCCTTTTTTATATATATAAGTATACATACAAACTCTCTTCCTTAATCGGTCCGGGCCGGGGCATGATGTAACTGCGCCATATCATGCACCTTTTCTATATGTACATACAATGTACTTTCAAGTACCACACCATGTGTATTGTAGTCCGGTTGTTTCCTTTTCAGAACAAGTAGCCTTTCGGGCTCAATAATGCCAGCATTTGAGATTGATGGTTAGGCTGCTCTACCATTTATTGTAAAAAAAAAAAAAAGGTTAGGTCGGCACCAAATCACTGTTTCCCAATTTTCAATTTGAACTATATATTGATCAAATTTTTTGAAGGAAAAAATTCATTTTCCCGACGGTTCCCCCACATAACATGTATAATATAAGCTCATAATATATTGTCATGAATGCCATTTGATTAACATTCATATGTAGAGTGTTTTTCACGAACCATTGCCCTATTATCGGGCTATTTAAAGGTTCATGAATCTTCTCCGGCAATCACCATAATATTGGATATTCGAGTTAGAAGCGCCTACGTTGATTTCTTTTTATGCCCCTTATAATTTTCCTTTTTTCGGTGTAATAATTCAAAGACTTGAGTGGAAAAAACAAAATCACGAGTGATCAACTTTCATCAATCGGGTTAAACAATTAGAGATTGAAATTAAGAATCTGTTGCACAATGATAGAATTAACTTAAAATGTCCGTGGTTTCCTTTGATGTTTGCTGTTTTCGACTTGAAAAAAAAATGTATGAGTTTGTCCTTAAAGTTCTACGTTGTATATGTACGATATTTATTCAATATTAATGGTATGACCCAAAAGTTGGTAATGCAAAGAAACTAAACAAAATATGTGCACACTGTCGTATGTGATTAGAGAGGCATCAGCGGGAGTGTTAGATTGATCCAGGATTAATTAGACACCAGTCACACCACAAACCCTCCAATGAATACATTCTTCTTTTCTAAAACGATCATTCCTTATGTTTGTATTATTTGAATATAACAAGCCAGATTTATTTTTAGGATGGAGCAAAAACTAATGGAATTGATTATTAAGTTGGATATGGTTGTGGGGCACAATTGAAGGGGGAGTGTCTACAATCTGGTAGACAATCATATCGCCCCAATATATGTTATGGTACTTTGACCTAGTTCTTTGATTAATTATTTTTAATCCCCAATAATAGAGAAAATAAAATATAATGACGACCTAGGAGAAGTAAAACAATTTTCTATGAATTTCAAAGTATGGAAGAAGGTAACTTTGATTTCTACTGGTGGCTTATTTGCTTCCTCGGTCTTTTCCCACATTGATTCGAACCGCACTTCCATGCAGAGTTTCTTCGTACACTGCACGATATGTTTCTTTTTAAACTTTCCTCTCTTTCTTGCAAAATCCTCACCTCTAAATAGTCCAATTTCTCACTGAAATCCACACTTATGTTTCTTTTTTGCTTCCCCTCCCTCGATTCAAAGAGCCTGTTCATAGTTGTACTCGTACCATTATTATTAGCGGGACTTTATCGTGTGATAGACATGTCGAGTAACCTTTGCTTACACTTATAGGTTAATCATGAGGTCATCGATTATGTTGGAAACAAAGAAGAAACCTTATTTTATGCGAAATTTGCATAATATGTGATCTTTTATGGTTAGAAAAGATTACTTTTGTATTAACTGAGATGAAAGTACAATGCGGAGATCGTTGGCCTCAATGGCGGTAAGATGCTTTCTAATACTCTATTTGTGCTGAAATTATCGTCTAGTTTAGATTTTTATTTTTTTTATGAATTAAACTAAAAACAAAAAATCTAAATTGATCAATAATTTTAAGTCAGATAGAATAATTTTTTGATGAATACTCTGCCTAAAATATTATACTTTAGTTTTCCAAACGAATCGAGGCTCATTATACTTATTTTTTTTCTACTTAAAAAACAAGGGACTAATTCCGTTACCGATCTCTATCACAGTATCATTACTTGAATACTGATGATCGATATACATATGGAATTATGAATAAAACAACCCAAGTAGTGGCACTATGGAATATATAGTAGTAGTACGAGTAGAATTGAATAGATTCATAACATCAATGGTTATGGTCGTTGAGGCCATAGAGGAGAGAGTCCCCGCCATGTGCAAATGCCTAATCCTTTAAAGAGGAGGGATCGGAACCATAATAATCGGCCGTTGTATTCCCCCTTCCCGTGGCCCATTTAGCCCTTTGATTAAAGCGTCACAACCAATCTCTATGATTGCAAATTTCACTACCCACTTTCCAGCTGATCTTTCATCATCTTTGCTTTGTCAATAAGCAAATTATTTCAATACTATGTTCCTACATATCCATAGTAAAAACAAACCAGTTACGTATTAGGAACTATATCAATAAATTAAAAAAAAAAAAAGACTTTGTAACAGATTATCTAATAACGTTACCAGCATCGATCGACTAGTGTGGTATAATTCATAGCCATCAAAGAGTTACACATTAGTTAAGCGATCAAAAGTTGTAGTATATGTAAGAGCCATGGCGGGGGGGTGGATTTATTAAACAAGCAAAGTATGAAGATTGCTCAACAGTTGGGAAAAAATCTAACAAATTATAATAACCAAAATTAGCAAGAAATTACACAAGTCTACAATTAAATTAACCATAATCTGAATTCTCCCTCCAATTGGTCACCTCAGTTTATCCAAAAACCTGAAATTTTACCCCATCTTTTTTTTTTTTTCTGGGAATCTAATGTTTTTAACCTCAGTCAAAAAAATTTAAAAATATCTAAAAGAGCATAGTTCTTGCTGGCCACTAGCTAGTTTCTAGTAGTGAAAGTGAAGTGGGGAAAATTTTTTGGCTGCTGGTGCACCTCAAAATTTTGCCGTACACCAACGAGCAACATTAGATCATTAACCTATAATCAGGGCCCACGTTTTGCTGATGTGGATGGTGATGATGGATCAAGAAATCATCTCCGCCGTTGGATACCCCAAACATGGAGGCTTGACTGAGCAACTGTTGCTGTTGCTGATGTTGCCTCTGCATCTCCTTCTGTCGCCGGAGCTCCAGCACCTTCCGGTGAGAATTCGAGTGCTTCGCCGACACGAAGGTGGGGCTGGCGGCCGGCCTGTATTCGGGCACCAACCGACCCGACTTGTAACGGACGCCACACGCATTGCACAGCGTCTTGGGCCCCATTGGTCCGGTTCTCCACTGAGGGGTCTTGTCCGACCCGCAATGGAGGCATTTCCGACCCGGAGACTCCACCGCCTCTCTTTTCTTCGACGGCGCGGCCTTGGGAGCCTTCAATTTGATGGTGACATTCAGCGGGTTATTCGGAGTGTTGTTGCAGTGGTGCTCGCCGTAATTGGCCTCGGAGGATGACGTGGTGGGGGATGCGAGGAGGAGGAGGCGGGACGCCCATTTGCATGGGGCCGCCCGGGAACGCTTGCTCCGGGCTTTCCCGGGAACGGAGACGTCGCCGGGGAAAATTGGGGATGAATTACTGTTGTTGGTGGCGGAGGAGGAGGTGTCGGTGGTGGCGGCGGCGGCAACGGCGGAGGGAGGTTTTGAATTTGTGGTGGGAGAGATGAGGTGGAGGTTGTGAAGGTCGTCGCTGGAGAATGATTCCTCCACAAAATTCGAGAGCCATTCAAGCTCAGCCAAGTCGTCATACTGTTCCAAACCAAAAAAATCATTCCAAAATTAGTCCAACATTTAATTTAATCTCTAAAAATTCTCAAAAATTTAGTAGCAATTATACTACCCAAAAAAAAAATGCCTAAATTTGGACACCAATAATTTCCCATAATTACAAATGATCCAGCGGACTCGCTTGTTTACGTGACCGACAAATTGTTGATTGAAAAATTAGAAAAAGGGGAAAAAACAGGGGGACCAAATTGGTGAAAATAATTACCGGAACACAGAGCTCGCTGCCGGAGAATTGAGTGTCAGTGAAGCTACGGCAACTAATATCACCGTTGAACTGGCCGACGTCACCACCGGAGACAGAAGAGTTACAGCTGTCAACGACGGTTAGAGAAGACTCGCCAGAATTCCCCGTAATGCTATCGAAAAACGCGTCGGTCATAATCTCGTCTTCCTTGGGCAAATCCAACAGGTCGTCCACCGCAAAATTGTTGTTGTTGTTGTTGTTAGAGCTAATATTATCGAACGGCTTCTGCTCGAATTCCGCCCCTCCGGTATGGCCATAATAGCCGCCGACAAAAAACTCCGATGAAGCTTCCATCTATGCCGTAGAATTTTAACCCAAAAAAAAAAAAACGAAACGGAACGAACGAGACGACTGATTGAAGGAACAATTAAAAGCAACGTAAACGTTTTTCTTGGTTTCACCTTTTTTCTAATTTTTCCGGGATTTCGTTATCTCTTTATTTTTTTTTCCCTTCTTTTTTGGTGAGGGAGAGGAAAAGCGAGACGAAATGGGGGGAGTTGAGTTTGAAGAGGACAAGGCGTAAAGAGCTGAAAGTGAGGGGGGGTTTTTGATGAGTGTAGAAGGGTCAATTTGTAAATACACCTTAATACTTTATTTACTTTTGAGTATGATATTTTTTTCTCCCTTCTTTAAAATTAGTAAGAGTATCTTTACCTGCTGTAGAATAAATAAATTTTTTATTCGTATTTATGTTCACTCACTTGCTGCTTCTGTAAAGTTTCTTCCTTTTTTTTAAAAAAAAAAATTAAATACACAAGGGTAATTTACTTTTTCCCTTTTGTTTTATTTACTTTCATCTTTTCTTTGAATTTTGATTTCATGTTGATACAATTTCCTTGTTTTGTTGTAATTTCATTCTAATTTTCCTTTTTTTCCTGGAAAATAAGATATTCACATTTATTTTATTTCTAAAAATTTAATTTTGGTTAGAAAATCGATTCGTGTGAATAAAAGGAAAAAAAAAAGCGTCATAATTCACGCTAATCAAGGCAAGCCCAGAGGAACCTTCACTGACTTTATTCTGGGAAATTGGCAGTACTCGCTGAGCGATTTTCCTTGTTTTTGTAATTTTTGTTCTGCAAAAAAAAAAAAAAAAAAGATTTATCATTTCATATGTCGGAAACTATGCCATTTATTTAAAATTATTTGGTTCATTTGGCAAGAAAATTACGCCAGTGATATCATGTGCAGTGCTATTAAAAATAATCCACAAGCTATGGGACGAGTCCTATGTAATTTAGTAGGGCTAAAGTATGTTAATTACTCCCTCCAGTTTAATTTGAACAAAGTACCACTTTTTATTTTTTGATAAAGTGTAACACATAATTCGAGAAATCCGTATCATATTTTCTGATTATGCTCTTGAAATGTAACAGTAAACTATATATAATTATGTTATTAACAAATATATGAAACTCAATTTACCAGTGTTAAGAGTAAATTTAGTTATGGTTTTAAGATGAAAAGAATGGCGCGCAAATGGAAAAGGAAATCATGAAGTAGAAAAGAAGGGCAGAATATTCTTAAAATGTGCTGAAAACGATAAATCAGAGTAGATTACGATATATTTTTTTTATTCTAGTACTATTTTCCGAAGTAAAAAAATACTACCGCTGTAATTTCATCAGTAAGTTTAACACTACATGCTGAGAAGCGCATAATTCTTCTTCTTCTTTTGGAAGAAATATTCGCGCGACTTGTGTACAATTTGTGCCACTATACAATAGCCATCATAAATATGGTAGTAGAAAATATTAATGACACTCCAAATTTATCTAGATTTACTTCACCATAATTGACATGATGTATACACTCATTAATTGCTTTTGTAATAATTATCTTAAATATTATACTCCAATAAAAGAATTGGGACGCGATGAATTTCATATCACTTCAAATTTTGTCACCAAGAAAATAATGGAGATAACTAAAACTTTCCTCTTTTTTTTTTTTTTTTTTTGCCCGTTATTGTTGATAATTCTCCCAAAAAGTTAGGGCATTCCCCGTATGTGGAATGAGAAGCTGTATGCTGGATTTTATAAATAGAATGTTACGCGATGAAATATCACTAGGAGTTTTTCCACTAACAATATCAATATTCTTATGAAAGTGACTCATGGATTGATTTTATTCGTATCCCATTTTAGAAAATTAAAAAAAAAAAAAAAAACGCATGTACGTAGAAGATATATTCAGAAAAATCAACCTCTAAATTGCCTTAAGAATCGATCTAGCATGTTTTGTCGCCGTGACTATTCCCTATTAACGTCCAAATATACAGCCGGATTCCCCTGCCTTAATTATTTAACCTTCTCTTATTTTTTTTTCATTGTTTATTATTAGTATAATTTTTTTCAACCTAGGGAACTGCGCTTCACACTCTTAAATTAATGGCTTAATATTTATATATCTTTTTAATTCTTTTGACTGTTTTTTTTTTTTTTGCCTCCCCCCACACACCACAATATTACCACTGCTTTCTTTCTTTCACTCTAAAAAATTAGGAAAAACACGTTATTATATTCCCTAACCCACGTTACCACACGATGCTTACAGCTCAACTCTCTTCTTCTAAACACCAAAAGAACTCTTCCTTCCCCCATTGGTGGTAGTATTCATCAGTCTCCATGTGTTTTGCAGTTTTGCTCCCTTCCTCATCCCCATGTTGTTCCTTTTTCTTTCACTTTTTACCTTCCAAGCCAAGTTAGGATGATTATACCCTCCTCCAAAGATTTGTCAGTATATATCCATCGTTTCCTTCTTTTTCTTTTCATTCCTTAAACCTCTAACCATTTAGTGAATTAGTCTCACCCGTCATGTTTTTAGAGTAACGATATGTAGACATTGAATTTAGTAAGTGATTTTGACTGTGGTATTAGTGATAAACATCTTTCCCTCGTGAAAAAAAGAAATATTTTATGTTATTGAAGTGAAAAACCAAAGAGATGTTTTCTCTGTTTCAAAATTGTCCAATTTGAATTTTATTTTTAGTTCAATATGTGTTAAAAGTAAAATTTCAGATTAGATAATGATTTCAGGACGAATGGAGTATGACATAAGATTTTTGTTTGCTTTTGGGTATGTCTCTTATTTACAAGTGGAGTAACAAATGATCGATGTTTGATGAATGAACTCATTCTTTCGTATGTCAATGCGAGCTTCCAATGAATTTGGATACCCCTAAAAACAAATTTACACTAAAGAAAATGATCAATGAATGAGAAGATTGAGTATGATATATGGTAATTGGAGATTGGGGTGGATACTCGCCTAGCTCATGACTCTTGAAAAGAACACGAATGTCGGGCATAAACTTTACCTCCACGAGGAAGCAAATGGCATTAACCTTCACCAAAAGGAAAACAGATTACTCATCTTCATTGTAATTTCTTTAACGAATGTTAGACTACTAGCCATAATAAAACATCAAAAAAATTACAGAATGAAACACAACATTCTGTAAATTTCCTACGACAGTTCATATGATCAAACATTAAAATGTCGGTTGCTGTGTTGGGCTAGCTCTGGCTGACATTAATGTACGAATTGCTTATGAGTCATTTGCTTTTCTTTTTCTTTTTTTTTTTTTTTTTTTTGGTATTCTTCTTTTTGGACGGCAAGGAGATGAAATTAAGATGGAAAAAAGAAAAAGAAAGACAAGAAACAAGTCTCGACTCTAAAATAAAAAACTAAATAATGCAATATTATTACTAAATTATGGTTAATTTTCCTTTTTAACCATCATGCAACATCAGTAAATTGCACGCTATTGTTTGACTAGTAGTCTAGTACTACAATGTAAAGTAAGATTAAAAAATAAACAGAACTCCATGGGGATATGCTTCCTTGAAGCTTGACATAATTATCTTCTACTAGCCACAGTTGTTTGGTACAAATCCCCATGCTAATGACTGCTAATAATTGGGCTAGATAAACTTTGTTAATCTACTCTCACTTATCCCCCTACTTTACTGCACAACCCCTCCTTTTTTCTACTTTAAATTTTACTACCATTTTTATTTACATTATCTTCTTAATCCAACAATATATATATATATATATATATATATTTTGGTACACTTAATCCAACAATACATATTATTCAACCAAAACCAATCCACTTTGCTAGCTGTGCATTTATTACATAAAACACGGGAAGAATTGAAGAACCCCAAAATGAATTCATGTAGTATAATTATCTCTTATCAGAGATGTGCATTGATCGAGTACAATATCACAATACAAACTCAGATAAAAACTTCTTCGTTACTGGGTTAATGCCATCATCATTGTTATATTATCAAAGTGTAAAGTTAGTCTTAAATGGTAATTTTGCTACGAAATAAGTGCCTCAAATTTCACAGGAGCGATGGATCGATAACATTAGTCTTCCTAATTTATAATAAAAAAAAACTAAAGTGAACATGCTTCAATTTTCAAGCACGGTCAACGTTGAATCCAGTGCAACATTCTTCTTTCATGGAACTGGAACTCATTTGTGTGCTGTACAACTAGTAGTACTACGTCGTTTGACATTTTCCCCAACGGGTGTAAACTAAGCAATGAATCTAGCTGTTGTCTTAAAGGGAAGGGGGGGAAAAAAGAAAAGGAAGAATAATTGTACGTATTATTTATAACTTTATTGATAATTTATATATTGCTTGTATTTTGAAAAAGAAGAATATCTCCTTTGGCCTTTTTTTATTTTTATTTTTATTTTATTTTTGTGAATGAATACAAAGGAATTCTGTGCTCTCTCAAGTGGTGGGTGAGAGGTGTGTGAGTGAGTGAGTGATGCTTTTCAAAAAAAATAAAAATGGGGTTCATGGGGTCCGACTTAGCACGTGACAAAGGTGAGGGGATATTGTCAGCCATCATGTGAGCGACTTTATAATACCACTAGTCTACTACTACTAGATAGATAATTTTGCATATATTTATATTTACTATTATACAATTTATCTTTTTTAACTTAAAAAAAAAGTATTACTCCATTTTATTTTATTTTATTTTTTGCTTATTAATAATATGATGCTGTGAGATACCGTGACATCGATACCGATAGCATACATACAGCACCCAATATCAGTGTGTTTTATTGAGCTGAATTGAAAGTCAGTATGGCAAACCATGTTCCAAACGGTGGTCAAATTCAAAGTGTTTGCCTATGCATTATTAGGCTCACATTAGCTGGATATTGGATAGATAGATGGATATTTCATATACAATCACTTCACTATTAGTCCCTTAAGTTTCAAGCTGAGATTCACTTTGATACCTTACTTTTTGAAACCTTTTATTGTTATTCTGTTCTCCTAATTCAACCAATGTATGCAATCTAGGCATCTAGCTAGTTTGATTAATCAAATATAAATGATCTGTTCAGTTCTACTATTATCCGAACTATAGTTGTATACATCTCCAAGCAAAACCAAATTTTCCGGTATGGCGTAAAATTTCTTCGGATGCGAGCCTCTAAGAAAATTTCTCCTATTAGGCCCTCAAAAACTATATATATATATATATATATATATATATATATATATATAATTGGAAGATTATTTTTGTGACTAGTTTCTAACATCTTAAAACACGTACTTAGCTAATGAGTTTCTTTAGGAATCAGGATCATTAGCATGAGGAGAAAACTAATTAGATTACTTATACACCCTTCGTGCCGAAATCATTGTCCTGTATAGATTTTTATTTTTAATTTAATTTGTACTAAAACTGAAAACCCACACTGATAATAATTTTGAGACGAAGGGAGTAAATTATAATCTACGGTGGCCCTCTACTTACAAATAAATTGGTAGTTATATACTCATGACATGGACAAAAAAAACGAATGTTATGTGGGCTAAAATTATTCATTCAATAACACATCATTATAATCGGCTATGGGTATTCGTATCCCTTCACACACACACACACCCACACACACAGCGAGCGTCTCTCAAAACTCTTGTGGGAGTTTCTTTGATACTTCCTTCACACGTGCGCCTCCTCCATGCATGTCCAATTCCAACGTGTCTGCACGTGTAGGATGGTCACGTGGAAGGCCAAGCACTGCACGTGTCTCTCCCCATGACATGTGGATTTGATTAAGGAGAAGCAATGGACGAGAGATTAGTCATATGTTCTGCTCCAAATTATTCCTTAATCCCCTCTCGCTCTGCATCAGTGTTCATGTTGTCTCAGCCTCACTTTGCTGTTTTTCCACCATGAAAGGTTCCAAAACTAATTACCATAAAAAGTACAGTAATAAAAACTGTTGCTTGCAGTGGACAATATTTGCCACCAGATTCAGAGGCTTCTCACAAATACGGTTTCGTAACTGGCCCATAAACGGAAGCACAGAGCCCAACTCGGGCATTGAACTCCTCCAGAGTTCAGCCTCCCAAAAAAAATGTCCATTATAGCGTTTTAGTTTAAACATAGTTTATTTTTGAACGAAGAATTCATAAGAAATATTATTCTACTATAAGATTTAACAATGCGTTTTGAGACATGTTTTGGATCCTTACGCAAGGATATGTGCAGTCCCTCCACTCTCAATCATGGCCACCATTCAGGGGGGAACTAGCCAATTCGCCCTGATTGGCAGTGAGTGGCAAGAGGCCAAGAGCCAATAAGTGCCAGAGCAAGTGGTTGAATAAACAGATGATGAATACAGTGAGTCAATATAAGTTCTGAATTGTTACTTATCTCTGTATCTCAATCAGAATAAGATCTTTCAGTTTTAGACAACAAACCTTCTAAACTGCATTTCGTGGCATTTAGTTCATAAGATACTCTGAAAAGAAAATTTCTGCACAGGCTTTTCCCTATCATCCAATACTAAAGCACTCTATCTATACTTACTTTTCGAGGACGTAGGAAACAACAATCTGAAGTAGCCAATATATGTCATTTCTATGATTTTGACATTTCTACACAAATATTGGATAAACAGTGCAGCTCTATCTTTGAATTTGATGCAGCTTGCCATTAGAACAAGTAAACTTCACAATCTATCTAAAATCACGAGTCCAGATATGAAGAGGAGAAACAAGCAACAAGTCAATGAGTGCAAAAAAAATAAACTGAATTTAAATGTTAAAACAAAGGAAAATTTCCCGACTGAAACGAGTCTTTGTTTCATGAATTAATTAAGAAAATAAAATTCCAAAAGTATATCGGGTGAATTCAACTCGAAATGGAGGCTTACTGTCATCCGTATCTCTCATCATTACCAAGTAATTAGACTATGGCAACTCAAATAAGCATAGATTGTCCACATTTTAACTGAAATTACAAAAGACACTAACAGAATAACTAATATAACTTCAAGCATCAACTGTTGTCACCTGTTGCCACTCTCCATCTACTGCTTCTTTCCACAACGTTACATCGTTTTTCCCATCTGCCACGGCAAGAATATTCCCGGTCAGTGACCATGAGACTCTCCAAACAGGGGCCCCAAAATCCTTCAAAACTCTACCCTCCCACTGATCACCTTCCTTTTTCACTGTCCATATGATAACTTTTCCATCTTGGGAACAGCTAGCAATTGTTGATTTTGGAAGTCCCAAATTGGGACCCCAGGCAACATCCCGCACCCAATCAGTATGCATAAGAAGAGCTGGAAAGCAGTCCATCAGCCATTTTTCGTTGGTAAGCTTCCAGATTTTCACTGTGTTATCACATCCGCCAGAGACAAGCTTCTGAACAGGATCAAGAAGGTTTGAACCTACCAAAGCGCCAGGAGAAGTTGACGGGGCCCATGAAACAGAAGTTACGCCGGCCGGGTGAGCTTGTTCAATTAGGGCCGTGTCCCAGTTGCCGTCAGATCTCATAGTGAAAACAGATATGTTCCCGTCTGAGGATCCACATGCTAGGCATAGACCTACCTCATGAGGAGCCCAAGCAACAGAATTAATAGAACCTTTATGGTCACCCAAAACATAGGCCTGGCTCCATTCATTTGGAGCTCCTTCCTTCCAGATAATGACTTTTCCATCAAAGGAACATGATGCAAGTAAGGAGCCAAACTTGGGATGAGCCCAGGATACCTGCCACACAGGTCCTTGGTGGCCACTCAAAGTTGCAAGAGGCTGTGAGTTAGAGTTATTAACACCAATTATCTTGACTGTGTGATCGGAAGAAGCAGTAGCTAGACGCTTCCCATAATAATCCATGGCAACATCATGGACTGTGTCCTGGTGACCAGTTTCAATCTTTTGTCCAGGCATTTTTTTGATACAAAGCGAGATTTAGATTTAACTTCAACTTTTCCTACTTGTTGCTTCCACTGTACATAGAGAACAGAAAGATTCAGTGAAGATAGTATGCAACCTCACAAAATCATGGATCATGGAGATAAAAGATTGCATATATCAGCCTCGCCAAAGGTGGACACGGGATCATCAGCTAATGGAAGGAGATGACAATACAATGCGGATAACATCATAATGCAATGGATATGGTAAGACATCAGGCATCTTGTAATGCAACAAAACACTAAATTTGCTCTCGTAAATCCAATTTCTTCTCTTTTTTACAAAGAAAACTCGAAGTATGATCACCACTGCAATTTTATGAACTAAGAGCAGTTACACATTAAATAAATGGTAAAATAGAAAAGAGGGCTTGCAATAAAATCATTAGAACAAGGAATTACGACCGGAAACTTTCCTAAATTGTAGCTACATCTGTCAAAAAGCTTATTTAATGATTTCAGATGACCAACCAAGCAACAATTAAAAGGTAGACGAACATAAAAGGGAAGAGGTGCTACTGAAATAGTTTCAAGAGGTACTTATCAGGTGCTTTGGATCATTACGTCAGACAAGGCTTTTCACAATGAATAAGAAAGCATGATACTGATAATGCTCATAATAATGGCGACGAAGTCCATGTAAAACAGATATCTTGCCATATTTTATAGTAACCCTAGACGAAACTCGACAGTTCCTCTATGAAAAGAAAAGGTACACTAACAGCAATTCACTCCCCATTGAATTATTATTCAACGCGTTTCCAGTGATAATGCTCATAATAATGGCGATGAAGTCCAAGTAAAAAGGATTACTGCCATACTTTTTAGAAACCCTAAGCGAAACACAACAGCTCCCCCTAACAACATTTCACTCTCCATTGAATTATATGTTCAATGCATTCCCCTTGCAAACAACATATTCACACAAAATTTGGGACAGAAACAGTTTCTCTATCCAAATCATCAACCTTAACCTTCCTTTTCATACCCCAAGGAAGAAAAAAAGAACAAAACAAACACAAAAGAAAACGTCAACATTGTCTTTCTAATAATCATCCATTGGGTGATGCACAAATTAAGTACATGGCTAGAATAAAATTTACTTTAAAACACCCAGTGTAAAAAAATTTGCCAAATAACACAAGGAAGTCTTCAATGCTCCTTAAGTAATAAGATTTCGCATATAGAACTGCCTTATAGACATGGCAATTACAACTTCAGATTCTATCGTTACGAAGATAACAACCAAAAAGTAAACGGAAAAACGAAATCTTCCACAAATAGACCTCCTCCGCAATACATCGATACATACATTCCATTTGTCAATGTGCCTCAAATCAAAAATCGGTACATAAAATAGCATAATTTTCCACTAAATCTAATCAAAACAATGAAATACCTTAGGGTTTTTGGAACTCCTAATCCTAACAAACAGATCCTAATTCCAGTCTAATCAGCATTTTTTACACAATCAACGAAGAAACCGGCCAATAAATTAAAAAATCAATCGGACGGAAAAGTTAAATCATTGATGATAAATTGTAAAAAGGAGTGCCGGAAATGCGAACCTCAAGAGCGGAAACGGCGAGATCCCGGGCTGCTCGTTAACGTCTCCTCGTGAGTATTCGATTTTCAACAGATCCGATTTACAGATGAAGCAAACTGAAGAATACAACCTTCCCTTTGAAAATCACCCAAGATGAATGAAAACAAAGATGAGTTTGACCAAAAAGCCCAACAGGCCCTTTTTTTTTTAGTTAAGCTCTCAACTCTGGGCCTCAGTAAGGACTTTGAAACAGTTTTATGTGGTACTACAAAAATAATTTGCAGTGTAATTATGAACCTAAATTGTATCACTAACTCACACATAATTCGATATTGAGTTTTTTTTTTCGTATGTGCTACATACTCTGTTTGTTCTAAAATAATTACAAGTTGCAATTTCCAATTTCCAGTATAAGTATAATTTGCATTGTAAATAAAAAATCCAAATAAGCCAATCATTTTGGGATGGAGGGGATGTACACCTCATTGAGTCAGCAATAAAGTTATATGAAACATGAATAGATTTATTTTTTATTAACTAGGTTGTTCCGGTCGCGCGAAGCGCAACTAGTTTTTACTTTTTGCCCATTTTTTAGATAAATTTATCTCTATATTATTTGTTGAGATGATAAATAACAGTAATTATGAGTAACACTTCATCTCTTATGTTTACCTAAGCTGATCAGTATAATTACCACCAAACAGATCGTGATTATTCTATATGTTTTCTTTTTCAACTTATGCGAGGGGATACTGGAGGAAAGCATTCTTATTCTTAATGTTGAAAAATGTAGTAATTATAATCATCCTAACCTCCCTATGCATTATATACGTCATTAGAGTTCGAATTTTTCAGAATGAAATAAGATATACATTATGTGAACGTCGTCCGAGCTAATTACAATGTCGTTATCATTTTCTTTTTCTTTATGTTTTTGAGGGCCATTAACTAAAATTATACGCTCTTTGATAATAATATATAGGGTAAACGGTTGAAATAGTCCTTTACATTTGGTAGAAAATTTATTTTGATTCTTTACATTAAAAAATCACTGATTTGGTCCATTATATTTGTCTTTTTTTTACTAATTTAGTCCTTTTTACTTTTTTTTTTGCCCTTAACATTCGGAATTCTCGAGTTGACTATGTCTTGGTCATGTCAACAGGGGTATTTTTGGTAATGATAAATTTTTAAAATTTAAAAAATTTAAAAAATATAATTGATTAAATTAATATTAAATTGATTTGTAATTAACTTTAAAAATTCAAAATTCCAAAAAAAAAAATTCTTTTTGTTTTTGTTCGTTGGCCCCATTCAAAAATTTTCTTCTTGCCTTTTACTGTAAAAATTTCCCCCGGTCGATCACTTTCCTCCACCACCCACCACCACCACCACCTCTATAACCAGCACCGCTACCACCACCCATCACCATAACTATTAGCAGAACCACCTACTGAAATAGTTGGGTCATTGCCCACAGCCACACTACCACCACCCACTACCACCCTCCCCACCTCCTCAACCCACGCCCACCGCACCATCACCACATTCTCCCCTCCTGATTTATGCTCCATTTAAGCACAATGGTTCATGATTTTTGTAAATCCATGTGTAAGGAGAATTTTGGTACTGTTTCTTTCAATTTTGATGCATTGTGCATCTAAATTTGATTTTCTGACAATGAAGAATCCTGGCAAAAAAATTTTCTGTCATGACTTGATTTGTCCTATTTTTTATACTAAATCATAAGAAAGGATAACGGAATTTTTAATTTTTATAACTCATTGAGAGGAAGATTTCGGCATAAAATTTGTTGAATTTTGGGTAACGTAGAGAGAGATCCGATCGATGGTGTCGACGGCGGCGACGCATCCCGGTGACCGGAAATGCATAAGGTTGAAGATGATAAATTTCAAAATTTACACTTTGACCCCAAAATTAAGGGAATTTGCAGAACAAGGTCAAGAAGAAAATTTTGAATTGGGCCCACGGAAAAAAAACAAAAAGGAGGAAATTAGATTTTGGAATATTTTTTGAATTTTGAATTTTTTTATTTTTATTTTTTAAATTAATTATAAATCAAAATAATATATTTAATATTATTCTTTAAATTTTTTTAAAAAAATTAAACATTAATCATTACCAAAAAACCCTTGTTGACTTGAGCAATATATGGTCAACTCAAGAACTCCCGATGTTAAGGACCAAAAAAACAAATGCAATTGACCATATCAGTGAATTTATAATATAAATGATCAAATTAAGTTTTCTACCAAATATAAAGGATCATTTCAACAACTTACTCTAATATATATGCGATGGCTCGAAACAATAATATTGTATACAGGAAATTTGACATATGACCATGGCATTTGAGGAGTTATTATGCTATACAAATTAAGTCCATCTAACTATGTGCACTTAGACGCTTTTTTGATTATTCAATAATGGAGGGACTCTATGTATAATTAGTTAGCATGTTTTTTTTTTTTCAATGCAATTATCACTTCCCCTTAATTTGAAGAAGTGGATTTTCAAAATTTCTTTTATTTTCAAATGATTTTATTTCTTAATCCGTAATTAACTAAACCAAGTGTCTTATATCATTTTGATAGTACTCGATGATATCTATCCAACAAGATCCATCATGAACATGTTTTTTGAAACTTTAAAAAATTTATGCAGCTGGATTGGTCATCCTAAAAGACGTTATGGTCTTATTGTGTCTTTTATGAACATGACCTAGAACAAATACCAAAGACCAAAAGCGAAAGACAAAAAACCGAAAATCAAAGAGCAAAGACAAAAAACCAAAGATCAAAGTGAAGTGCGACCGTGTGTGAGGACCAAAGACCAACGACAAAACATCGAAGACCAAAGACCAGAGTGAAGAACGAGCGTATGTGAAAAATAAAGACCAAAAATAAAAGACCAAAGACCAAAAACCGAAAACTAAAGCTCAAAGATCAAAAACCAGAATGAATACCGAAAGTGTATGATGAGCAAAGACCAAAGACCAATAACCAAAAGACTAAACTAGGCCCTAACTAACACGGAAATGCTTAAACCCCCTAAACCCTAAGCAACTAGACCCTAACCGACATGGAAATGCTTAAACCCACTAAACCCTAAACACATTAATATTTTTTTTATATATATTTTTGGTTTAAATTTTTTTAAACTAAAGCCTAATTGGTTTTAAAAAATTTCATAAGGTTAATCGTGTTACGGCACAAATTAGGCTCTAACCAACACAGAAATGCTTAAACCCCCTAAACCATAAATCCTAAATAACTAGACCCTAACCGACACGGAAATAGCTAAATCCACCTAAACCCTAAACACACTAATTTTTTTTTTTCGTTTTAAAAAATTTCATAAGGTTAATCGTATTATGGCACAAATTAGGCTTTAACCGACACGAAAATGCTTAAAACCCCTAAACCCTAAACAACTAAATCCTAACCGACACGGAAATAGTTAAACCCCCCTAAAACCTAAACACACTATTTTTTTTGTTTAAAAAAAATTATAAGGTTAATCGTGTTAAGGCACAAATTAAGCCCTAACTGGCACGAAAATGCTTAAACCCCCCTAAATCCCAAACAACTAGACCCTAACCCACACGGAAATGGTTAAACCCCCCTAAACCCTAAACACACTAATTTCTTTTTTTTTTTTGGTTTAAAAAAAATTTATAAGTTAATCGTGTTACGGCACAAACTAGGCCCTAACCGACACGGAAATGCTTAAGTCCCCTAAAGCCTAAAATCTAAACAACTAGATCCTAACCAGCATGAAAATGGTTAAACCCCCCTAAACCCTCAACACACTAATTTTTTTTTGTTTAAATTTTTTTAAACCAATTAGACTAGGGTCTCGTTTACGATACCCTAGCCTGATTGGTTTAAAAAAAATTTATAAGTTAATCGTGTAACGACACAAAATAGGCCCTAACCAACACGGAAATGCTTAAACTCCCTAAACCATAAAACCTACACAACTAGACCGTGACCGACAATGAAATAGTTAAACCTCCCTAAACCCTAAACACACTAATTTTTTTTTGGTTAAAATTTTTTTAAACCAATTAGGTTAGGGTAAACGAGACCCTAGCCTAATTAGTTTAAAAAAATTTATAAGTTAAACGTGTTATGGCGCAAACTAGGCCCTAACCGACACGGAAATGCTTAAGTCCCCTAAAGCCTAAACTCTAAACAACTAGATCCCAACCAACACGAAAATGGTTAAACCCCCCCTAAACCCTAAACACACTAATATTTTTTTGTTTAAATTTTTTTAAACCAATTAGGCTAGGGTCTCGTTTACGATACCCTATCCTAATTGGTTTAAAAAATTTATAAGTTAATCGTGTAACGACATAAACTAGGCCCTAACCAACACGGAAATGCTTAAACCCCCTAAACCCTAAAACCTAAACAACTAGACCGTGACCGACAATGAAATGGTTAAACCTCCCTAAATCCTAAACACACTATTTTTTTTTGGTTTAAATTTTTTTAAACCAATTAGGCTAGGACCCTAGCCTAATTGGTTTAATTCCTAGCCTAATTGGTTTAAAAAAATTTATAAGTTAAACGTGTTACTGCACAAACTAGGCCCTAACCGACAAAGAAATGCTTAAACCCCCTAAACCCTAAACCCTAAACAACTAGACCTTAAGCGACAAGAAAATGCTTTAACCCCTCTAAACCCTAAACACACTAATATTTTTTCAATTTTTTTATCTTTGGCCTTTGGTCTTTACTCTCCACACACGCTCGTTTTTAATTCTAGTCTTTGGTCTTCGGTCTTTAGTTTTTGGTTTTTGGCCTTTGGTCTCTGGTCTTTGGTTTTCGGTCTTTGGTTTTTGGTCTTTGGTATTTGGTCGTTGGCCTTCGGTCTTTGGTCTTTGTTATTTGATCTTTCGTTTTTGGTCTTTGGTCTTTGGTCTTTGCTCCTCACACAATGCTCTCTCTTTCACTATGGTCTTTGATCTTCAGTTTTTGCTCTTCGGTCTTCGGTTTCTTGGTCTTTCGTCTTTGGTCTTTTGTCGTTGTTCCTCACACATGCTCACTCTTTACTCTGATCTTTGATCTTTGCACTTTGGTATTCAATTTTGGTCTTTGGCCTTCGGCCTTTGGTCTTTTCTGTAGGTCTTGATCCTAAAAGACACAATAAGACCAGAATGTCTTTTAGTAAGACTAAGGCTACTGCATAAATTTTTTTTAAGTTTCGAAAAACATATTCATGAGGGATCTTGTTGGATTAGATCTCGTCGAGTACTATCAAAATAATATAAGACACTTGGTATTATTATTTACAGATTAAGAAATAAAGTGATTTGAAAATTTAAGAAATTTTAAAACCCAATTCCTAAAATTAAGGGGAAGGGGCGCGTGAGTTGCACATAACTCATAAAGACTTGCATGTTTAGCTCTCCTTTCCTATACTAACTACCAAATAAGGGTCTATGTGTACCTAGCTACATGCACTTAATGTGCATGGTATAATTTTTGGTATTTGAGCTTGAAAATTATAAGCCTGTCTTGTTCGTGAACATTTAGTTAGATCCAAAAAAGAAAAGAAATTTGATATTATTTTATGTAAGCTTCATAATATCATTCATCAAACGAATTCACCCCCTTCGGATCTTTGTGTCCTTGCAAAGCCCAAGCAAGAATGTGGCCCATTCTTCCACCGGAATAGGACTCTAGAGGTGGCTCCCGTGCTTCGCACTTGTCTTGTCTGCAGGCTCAGCGGTGTCTCCGCACTTGTCACGTCAGTGGGCTCAGATGTGTGTCCGCACGTAGCATTTGGACTAGGGTCTGCTCTGATGCCATTTGTAACATCCCATGCTCATAGACTACCCAACCACTTTCAAGCTTTCGTCCTCTCTAGTCCAAAATGGTTAACCCAAGTTGTTAATAGTTTATGAGGTTGAGACTTATATACAGTTCATTCATTCTGTCAGATATCAATGTGGGGAAGATGTTGCAGCCCACCCCCTTTGGATCTTCGCGTCCTCGCAAAGCCCAAGCAAGAATGTGGCCCAGTCTTCCCTCGGAATAGGACTCTAAAGGTGGCTCCCGTGCTTCGCACTTGTCCCGTCTGCAGGCTCAACGGTGCCTTTGCACTTGTCCCGTTACTTTTTTTTTTTCGTTTTCCGGAAGATGTAGAAACTAGAGCTAGTGCTTCATCTCTTATGTTTACCCAAGCTGATAAGTATGATTACCACCAAACAGATCGTGATTGTTCTCTACGTTTTATTTTTCAACTTATGCCAGGGGAGTGCTGGAGGAAAGCATTCTTGTTCTTAATGTTGAAAATATGTTAATTATAATGATCCTAACCTCCCATGTGCATTATATACGTCATTAGAGTTCGAATTTTTCAGAAAGAAATAAGATCTTTATTATGCGAACGTCGTTCGAGCTAATTACAATGTCGTTATCATTTTCTTTTTCTTTATATTTTTCGGGGCCATTAATTGTAAGGTCTTTGATAATAATATATCCGATGGCTCGGAACAACAATTTTATATACAGGAAAAATTGACATATGACCATGGCATTTGAGCTTGAAAATTATAAGTTATCTTGTCCGTGAACATTTAATTAGATCCAAAAAAAGAAAAGAAATTTACTGATATTACTTTTCGTAAATCTTCGTAATATCATTCATCAAACTAATTCATTGTCTTAATAGTTATTGAAGAAGAACATGGTATGGTAAAAAATGAGGACGTAAAGTTTCGTAATATTAATCATCAAACTAATTCATGGTCTTAGTCGTTAATGAAGAAGAACATAGTATGGTAGAAAATGAGGAGGTAACAAAACGAAAGTCACTTATATAAATTGCTGCAGAGATTAATTATCGATAAATAAATACATCAACACAATTTCAATTCAAATGAAAAGCTTGCCTCACAATCACCAAAAGCACGAAATGAACACATGCATCTTTTTTAACAATTCGACGATTAAGCTAGGATTGTTTCCCTGTAGCCACATTGACGAAGAAGAACATTTTTCTTTTCTTTCTTTTATTACTAGTTTCTTTTTCTTTTTTTTTTCCCTGATAGTTATAAGCTTAGAGAAAGAAACATTATGGGTACAGATTACCACAATAACATCATACTCCTAACCAAGGTTTAACTCACGTTGGTGGTGCCTCGAGCCATTGCACCGTAGACAAGGTACAATTTTTCAGGAAAGCTGTGTAAAGGGGCACGAGATCAAGTTAGATGGAGCCGGGATGTGACACACGTCAATAAGCGGACCAGCATTGTAGATACCTTGAGCGTCGACGTTGACAACGCCAAACGCGTGGAAATAGACACCATCGCAAAAGCAGTCAACCAGTTGATTCTGATCACTAAGGCCATCGAAAAGAGGGCAGCAAGCAGAAACAACCTCTGTACTATTGTCGACCCCTGTACCGTACAAAGGATCACATGCTAGATATTCTACCCCATTCCTCGGGCAAGATAAAGGATTCGCCGGAGGCGGAGGTGGAGAGGGAGGAGGCGGTGGGGGGGAAGGTGACGGAGGTGGAGGGGATGGGGGAGGTGGAGAGGGAGGTGGGGGGGAAGGTGATGGCGGCGGAGGTGGAGAGGGAGGAGGCGGTGGGGGGGAAGGTGACGGAGGTGGAGGGGATGGGGGAGGTGGAGAGGGAGGTGGCGGGGAAGGTGGTGTGGAACATGGTGGCGGAGACTTGGCTTTGGGAGGAGGAGGAGGAGGCGGCGGTGGTGGCGGAGACTTATGTTTGGGAGGAGGTGGTGGTGGTGACTTATGTTTAGGAGGGGGTGATGGTGGGGATTTGTGCTTGTGCTTATGTTTGGCATCTTGGCATTTCTTATCACCTGCACTGACCACACTGAGGAACATAAGCATTAGGAGAAGGATCATAAAGGCCAGGGATTTAGTGCTCTTGCAACCCATTTTTTACGTTTAAATTCCAAGAAACAATAGTTTTTTTCCTTCTTCTTCTTTTTGCTGTGTGTTTGGGATGGAAAAAAGTGTGTAGTAGTGAGGGGTTTTATTATGGAGGATTGAATGCATGGTTTTTCAAAAGAGAAAAAGAAATGGAGAATAGTATATATGTACTTCTATAGGAGGCGTGTTGGAAAATGGAAATTAAATGTTGATTTATTTAATATTAGTGATGATGAGTTGGGTCCTGTATATTATCCTGATGGAATTTGAGTTGGCAACACAGAATATGTTTCTTTGTTGACTAAATTCGGAGGGGTAAAATCTGCTTCTTAGTTTAGTGAGCTCATTAGATACAATAGCTTCTTTGTAGATAGTGGAGAATCGTTTGGTTGGTGAGAGAACCTAACCACCCCCCGAAAAAAAAACACTATATATTCATATTGTTAAACCACTTGATCATAAGAAAAATAATTTGCTGGACTTTCGAAATCACTAAACAAATAAAACGAATTACGCATTGGAATGTCAAACATGTATTGCCTCCGGTCGTTAATATAAAGTATTTGATTTGTCTTAAGTTTCATTTAATTTATATTTTTAATTGAAACAAGCATGTTTAAAATATTTTTTAATAATTAGAGGAATACAGAGAATGTAAAAATATGTTTTAAAGTTTTTTTAATTAAAAATATATCATAGGTGAAACTTATGACAAATTAAAATACTTTATATTAAAGACGACACGGAATATTAGACAAGCAACTACCAAAAACTGTGGTTCACTTAAATTGATCTTAAATGATTATCTTTTTTGGTTTTGACAAAGCGCGCCAGCTATATAACATATCAATTCTTGTTAGTTAGAAAAATAAACTAGCTGGGGCTTTTAAATTCTCTAACCAAAATAGTAAACCAATTATGCATTGGATGTCGAACATGTACTAAATAAAAGAAATTATATCTTGAAAACGATGGAGTACATCTTTTGATCACACTAATTTGGATCAACTATAATTTAATCCAAATGGCTATATATTTTGATTTTGACAAAGCGCCAGCTATAATTATATTAACTAATGCTTGATCATTAGACAAATATGTTAGTTGTGCTTTCAAAATCACTAACCAGATAAAACAAATTATGCATTGGAATGTCTAACATATACTAAATAAAACGAATATATCTTGAACACGATGGAGTTCCTACCTCTTGTGATCATACTTTGATCAACTCATTTGAATGCGGTCGAGGGGTTGACTCTATGGCTATTGCGCGGACGAAATTATCGTATAAAAACTATCGACGAGGCAACCGGTGAATTTGTTTACGGCAATCATTGACTTTCCATCCAAGAAAGAAAGCTCAAAGTAGATATAATTCAATTTTATTTCTTTAATTATTTCGTGTTTCATGATAATTATTATTACTTTCGTCTCAAAATTTTTGTGCAGTTTGAGATTTCACTTTTAGTATGAAAATTCAAACTGGGTAATATATAATTTCAAGATAAAGAGAGTATAACTAAATAGAAGTGAAATCGCGTGAGAACTAATTACTTTGTCCATATCATAATCAAGAAGTAATATTTGGAAAAACAAAAGGAAAGAAAAGCTAGAAGATGACACATGCAATGATGCAAATTGGAGGTTCATATCCTTAAACCACTTGATAATAAGGAACATAAATTAGTTAGTTTTTTAAAGCCATTAATGTAATCAAATGAATAATGCAATGGAATGTCAAACACGTACTAAACTACTAATTAACCAGGCCTAACAATTTTTAGGGTTTATTTAAATTCATCTAACGCCGGGCGAGTTTTGACAAAGGAAACTGCGCTCAACCCGAAGTAAATTTCTTAAATGCTGTGGATTTTTCATATGAATGAAAGTCCATGATCGACAAGACAAAAAATATATTCAAGAAAAACAGAAACTTATCGACAGAGTTGACTTCGGTAAACGTAGTAGTATAAACTACTGAGAAAAGAGCTAAAAAATTTTCTACACCGCAATTCTACGACATTTCCTATATTATCATATAAAATTTTTCATCTTTTTTATTCAATTATTAGTTTTCTTTTGTTAAATTTTACAAATACACTAACCAACTTTTAGATAAATATGTCAATATACAAATGTCATAATCTCGATAAGTGATGTAGGAAGTGGTGTAAGATTATAATGTAGGAGATCTTTTTTCTGAGAAAAGTGTGATTTCTCACTAATTCGGCACAAAAAAGATGGAAGCTTTTCCCCAAAACAAATAAATAAACAAACCAACAAAACTTGCCATTTTACAAGCTAACTATATATATATATATTCTTTTTCGTATAATGCGCATGGGATACTTTAGAATCCCAACAATTTTTTTTTCTTTGTAAAAGGTTAATTATATTAACACTGCCAAGAACTGGATCCCCAGTTTACAAACTCTCTATTCTATAACATCACAATATCGTCAATTCTGTAATCTGATCCCAAACCGCTCAATATATAGTTTCTCAGACTTCCTATATTTCAGAAGTATATTGATTAACCAATTTATTAATGGGTTAATAAATATACTTTCCTGAGACGTATAGATGTCTAACCAATTCATTAAGGTTATCCTCCCAAAAAGTTTCTCGGGCAAGCAATGTAGGCTTCGAATGGTAGCAGAGTTCAAGCTTCACAATAACAACATTACAATTTGGACCGGATACACTTTTCGTCCTCTAGCTTTCGTGCGTCGCAAGATCGAGAAAGTATGAATTTTCAATTGGCAAAAGCGGTCTCCTAAAATATTTTTCTCGTCAATTTTAATCGATTGAACAAACATTTTCAAAAATTAATGAAAGAAATCAACTCTCCGTTAATAATAAAATATTTTATTAATTTTTCTGATTGTAGGCCCCACATTCATTTGACTTAATAAAAAATACTCAAATAAAAGGGAAAATTTTTTTTTTCTTTCCTCCTACTCCCTCACCATCCGGCCGCACCACCACAACCATCAACCACCATTTTTCTTCTACATCATCCATTTTTCTTCCATAATTTTAAAAATCAATTAGCTCCTGATCTGTGTTTCTTCAACATCATTTTTCTTCTATGATAAAAATCCACATCATGATGAGCGAACAGCCACCATAATCAAACCCCAGATCAAATTTTCTTCAACCTCGGATTTATATCGTCTAAATCGCCAAGACGACAAAAACTCGGTAAATCACGAGCCGGAGAAAATTTTCCGTCCCGGGTACACTTTTTATTAAAACATCCAAGTCATCTTCCAAAGAAAATAAAAATCATAAATCTTAAGTAATCGAAACGATTCAGACGAAATGAAGATTTGGGGTCAGTTTGGGGACAAGTACCTGGTTTGAAAGGAGCTCCCCGGCTTCAATGAGCTTGGGAAGACAAGAGAATACCCAGAGGCATCAGGGATGGTTCGGACCTAAACAATAGGAATCCCGATTTCGTTAGCAACATCGCAAGTAAAACCCAAGCAGCCGTCGGCGATAATAAACTTGATGGGCCGCCGTCTTCTTCATCACTGATTCCTCTGGAAGATGTCCTCTCCAGATTGAGATCTTCACCGTTCGCCCCCCTTTCGCATCGTTTGGCGCTTATGCTAGATAAGAGTACTGTTCGGAGATGAAACTTCAACCACCTTTCATGACAATCATCTTCTCCTCCGAATACATGTCATCACCATCATCACCTGCAATAATCTCCTTTTAATAAAGACTTGAATTTTTGGATCAAACCCCATGGTCAAAGATCAAACCAAATTTAGTTCGTTCAAATTACAAAATAAGCAGAATGAATATGGAGAAATCAGATCTGAAGACGATTAAAAATGGTGGCAGCTCTGAAATAAGCACCATTGCATACAGTTAACGAATGAGCTTTTGAATCACGACATCTTTCCTCTACAATAAAAAATAAAAAAAAAATCCAACTAAATTTTTGTTGACGAAAGAAAAGGGAAGACTTATTTGAGAGAAGTTTATACTGACTAACATCATAATCTTCAATGCTTGTAAGCCCCATTCGGCGTCTGCAATCAAGGCTTCAATGTCCGCGGGAGAATACTCAGAAAATTCATCCATCATCAAGTTGGATTGTTTTCCTTTCTCCCCTAAATAAATTCCATCAAACTAAAAAAAATAAAAAAAGAGGAAAGAATATTAGGGTTAGAAAGAAATAAATTAATTTAATCAAAACCAGAAGATTTGGAATACTAATTAGATCAAGTTTCGAGATGAAATACCTCACCAGACGGTAATGATCGGGTGTCCATCTTCTTGCAGCTTTCCCCGGCGTCTTTGACGATCGATCCGCGTAAATTTGTGTCTGCGTGCCATGTGCTTGCGCGCATTTGTAAGGGTTAATGATAACTACTGAAGGTAGTAGTTTTGTAATTAGATTAGACTAACTCACAGCTCTAATTCGAACTTTCCATTTTTTATTTTTATTTTCCGCCGCTCGATAAATGATCCAACCCTAAATTTAATTTTACTCGTACGACAAACAAGAAGATGACCACCAAATCTTCCTCTTCAACGTCTGCGGCCTCAACCAGGTAGGTAATATATTCATCCCGCTCCCACTTGTTTTGTACTCCCTCCATCCTGACTCCTGATATTATTGTCCAAACAATAATTTTGGGGCGGAAAAAGTATATTACATTTCTTGGTATTAATTCCTACTGGTGTTGCTTTTCATTCAGTAAAATAAATTATTTTTTTTCCAAGGAAGACAATGGCAAAGAGCCCGTTAAAGAGTGCGTGTACATTGATGAGTGTACTCCTGTAGCCGTTGAAGCCTTGCTTGCCGAGGTTTTAGAGGTTGCCAAGGTAGCGAACCATCCAGATGACGAGGTCAGTCAATTAGTCCTCTCATCCCGAGAGTTTATACTTCCCCTTTCAGTACAAATTGTATATTTATGTTTTAAAATAATTGTCATTTTTTATATTTTTACTTAGTTGAATTTGTATTAAAACTAAAAGTAAAACTC